AACAACAGCTTAGTGATGTAATTTATTTCTCATTGATTGATAACTTTGATATATGCAATTTCAATACATGCAGTATATTTGTGGAGCCAATTAACTGTATGGATTGAGGATTTCCTGTATGTAATCTATGTTATCAAATTTGTTTTGTTTCTGCTTCAAATAATTTAAGGATTTCATATGATATTTATGTTCAAAAATGTTATCCTTTAAAGCAGTATTACATTTTTTGAATCTCAGAAAATTATTTTATTTGATGAAACTTTCTTAGTCAAATTGGAAAAATGTTCAATGAGAGACTTCTACTTCTTTTACTGTATAGTGAATTTTAAAAATTCTTGTATAAAAGCTATATTGAAATTCAGAACCATATACAAAATGGTTGTATTATAAGTTACATTATATATTATTAGTTTTGTTTATGTAACCTATACAGGGAATTTCAAAAGTAATGTCCAATTTTTGAAAAATGTGTAAAAATTTACTTAAAAAGTTTCTTTATGCAATATATTTTAATTTATGTAAAATACTGATTCTCTGACTTTGAATTTTGAAAATTAGGTATCACATTTAAAACACCTTGTGTGTTATATAAAATAATCTTTTTTAATATATTTTGAACATGAATTAATCAAAATTACTGGATCTTAGAATTAAAAATATATATATTTTTAGATAATTGCAGTCGACCCCCCCCCTATAACACTGTTGATAATTCCATTTTATATGAATTTCATGTTGTATGAGTCACTTAGATTTTACAAATACGTGAGCCAATCACAGCCCGAAACACATATTTGTAAAATCTAAGTGACTTGTACAACATGGAATTCATATAAAATGGAATTATCAACAGTGTTATAGGGGGTCCGACTGGTATTTTGTTTTATATCTGGATATTAACCAGATAACAAGAGGTATTTTTAAATTTCATGATGACAATAAAGATTTTTAAAATTTTAAAATAAATTTAAAATTAAGAAATTATTTTTAAAATTGATTAAGATTAATTTTTATTCTTTGACTTTTTATTATATGAAAGAAATCTAATTTTATATTTTGAGAAAGCAAGTTAGATTCCAATTTTAAAGAGTTTTTTAATAATAATAATACATATTTCAGGGCTAGTAAAATGTAAAATCAACTGTCTTGTGCTGTTATTTATTAAAAACATTTAATAAAACACAATTCTTGCAAGATGGCTTTTTATGCTTTAATATATGAGTAGTGAGTATTTTATGTCACACCGATATAGGAGATGGATTTTTTCATAGCCAAATTGCGTAGGAATAAGTCATATGAACCTGGATATGAACAATTCCACTTATATTGGTGTGGTATTTAGAATGTTTGTATTCTATATTCTGTTCCAGTTGCCTGATTATCAGGCGTCACTGAAAAATTTAAAAATATTGCCACAATTTTGCCAGTTTAAAATTTTTTTTTGTCATTTCAAATCATTTATCACCACCAATTTTACTTACTAATTAATGCAGGTGTAGGTAGCCTTGTCTGGAAAGCAGAAGTAACATGTTAAGCTGTCACCTATGAGGAAAGATCCACATGTTTGGGTCTCCAGTTTGAACAAAACATGATGAGCATGTAGTCTAAATGTAAACAGCTCCTTGTCCAAATAATAGAACACACTTTTCAAGCATTTTAAAAATTGGGCCTCTAAAAATTTAGTGTATAAGTCTTTGGAAGTTTTATGTCCCAGATCAGCAATAACTGAGTGAATAAGACACTAGAGATGATGTAGGTTAGAACCTTTGACATTTTAGTTTAGTTTTTTTTTTTTTAATGTGTAACATTATTATTTTAGTGCATCATTAGCATTATTATTCTTTTCATTTAAAGCTTATAAAACAAGAGATTAAAAAATTGTGATGTCATTTCCAGTTTACTGAAAACAAGCCTCTGTAGATTTAACTGTTACATTGTTAAATAAAATTTTCTCCACATTTATTTTCAGATAACTTAGTATTGTGACATAATATTAAGAATTAAAAAATTAAAATGCTGTGACTACACTACCCTATTTTCATATCACTTATCTTTTTGTCCATGTTCAGTAATGTCTGAAGCTTATTTACTTGTGAGGACATAATATGTAAAATATGTGAAAATAAATGTGAAGAAGTCAAAATCAGTCTTATTTAACAAAGTTAGAGAGTTAAATCTGGAGAGGCTTGTTTTTGCTAAACAGGAATCACAATTTTCAATTTATTGTTTTATAAGCTTTAAATGTGAGGAATAATAATAGTAATAATAATGCTAACGATGCACTAAAATAATAATGTTACACACAACAAAGCTAAACTAAAATTCTGAAAATTCAAACCTATAACATCTACTTCCAGTGCCTAGTGTCTTATCCACTCAGCTATTTGTGTTTTTCGTAAACTAAAGAAGGCACTGCAGTTTTACAAAATGGCTACTTTATCTGGGTTGCTGGTTCAATGTAAAATTAATCATATATTACTGTCTGATATAATGATATGCTGTTTGTAGCTGTTTATTGAGAAATTTTATAGGAGAACAATTATTGCTAGTGCGACATGTCATTACATATGATATTATCAAAACAAATGAGCGAGATCGTTCTACACATATTTGTGGTCTTTGTGTTAAAAACATCAGCTTTGATAACTGTCCCATCAGTGCCATATTTACAAGTAAGCTATGTAAGCTGTTGAGTGGGGCCTCAAAAATTTCTACAAAAAAGAAAATTGAAGTCAAGTTTTGTAATAAAAATTTTTTTACAAACCAACAAAATATACTTTTCTTTTTATTTTGTGTAGTATTTAATTTGTATGTTTATGTTAATTCTTTTCTTTTTATGATTGACTTCTAAAATTGTGAAGTGTTGGTAAGAACCACACACAGAGTTCAGCTTAGGGCCTTGAAATACTTAAATTTGGCCCTGTATCCCACACAAAATTACTGGCATTTTAAACTTTAAGGAAAAGTACTTTAAAATTGACAGCATAACTTGTTCTTGTAAAGCTGGATAATTGGGAAACTTTTTTGTCAGCTTTCAAGAGTCAAATCCACTCTTTCTGTTGGTTATATTTATGAGCTTCTCTGAATTCTGATTTCTGAATAATTATCATCTTTTCATGTGGGAATAGACAAAAACTTATATTGGGCTCCCATATGAATTGAAATTGCAATTAGGAATCCAACAGAAAGCTTTACTATTTATCTTTACTGCTAACAATGCACAAGGATGATCCAAATGACCCAGATAAAATAATTTTGTTTTTAAACACCAGAGGGCGAGCATCTGGTAAAAAATGCGAATAACTGCAAGAGACATAAAACTTTCAAAGTCTTATAAGCTAAACACTAAATTTTCAGAGGGCCAATTTTTGGAAACGCTTGAGAAATGGGTCCTTTTATTTCGACAAGGAGCTGCTTGTGTTTAAAACTATGTGCTCACCAGGTTTTGTTTGAATCGGAGACCTGAACATCTGGCTCTCCCCTTGTTAGCAAAAGGAATCATTTTTGAATACTTTTTTAATGAATAATTCTGAATAATTCATTTCATCACAATGTTTAAACAGTGTTTCATAGATTCTGTCATGTCAAAATTTTTGTTTTATTCTACTGAAAAAAAATCAAAGTGAAGTCATCTCAAAAAATTCCCCCAATTTCCTGTCAGTCAATAAAAAGTCCCCAATCTGGAAGCATTAGGTGACATTGAAAAAACTGCTTTTGGTTCTCAACGTCACTTCTTACTTTTCTGCCTGAACTTGCCATGTGATGTCATGAAATTGCTAGGGGAGCTTGTACTTTGTTTTAGATGAATTGATTTGTAAGATTGGATCAATCTTTGTCACGTGATACAGATTTCTTCTCTCATGTTTTAGTTGGCAGAAAGTATTCAAGTAGGATTGAATCTTATTTACACTGTGAATAAATTTGTTCACAAAATGGGAGAATCCAAGTCATGCGTTCTTGTCATACAATCTTACAAAGTTGTTTCTAAATACAGTTGTCCCTCGATAATCCGACAGGTATGGGACCAAAGGTGTGTCGGATTACCAAAAGTGTCCGGATTACCGAAAATAATTACATATTTTGCGTTGTTTTGCTAGCAGTAACTTACAATATTCTCTACTCCAACTGTTTGAACAGAACTGCTCACATAAAACACACGAAATGTGTGTCATTGAGTAAGAATTGGATGGGGAGATTCACATCGCGACATGCTTCTGTGCAAGCAGACACGTAACAGGGACGGGTACCTTGATGGGAGGTGCGTCGGACTACTGAGCATGTCGGATTAAAAAACGTCGGACTGTCGAGGGACAACTGTACTTATTTTTTCTTATCAGTTTATCAGATATTTTAATAATGATGTTTTTACTTATCATTTATAAGTTTCAAGTACAGTATTTTTTATTGTTGATAGTTAAACATATTTCTTTGCTGTCAACTATGAGCTTGACTTTAACCATGGTTGTCACCATCTTTAATCTTCTTTATCCAATCTGAATGATTCTATTCTCTGTTTGGATTAGTTTGTTCATGATCCAGTTGATCCTAGCTGGCGTTTGTATACATAGATAGAAATTGATCAGATTGCTATAGTTTGCATGTATACATAATTTGAATGATCAGTGTAATCTTGGATCAGTTTGATTCAAAAAGTATATACACCCTAGGTGTGTGGTGCACAGGACTCCCATTGTATGGAAGCTCGACATTTTGCTGTTTCCCAAAGTGTGATTTGTGATTCAATTTCGTCACCACTTGAAATCGTCATTATTATATTTTTATCACCACTTTAATAAAAATATCACAAAGTGGCGATTTTGGTGCTATTCAGCACAATCCCTGGATTATGATGTTTCACTGAAAGTGTTTGTTTTACTGAATGTTTTTTTCTTTTTATTTAATAAGTAATACCACAAGACAGTTGACTTTTCATTTTATTAGTCATTTTTTAATGTCATAATAATTTGTTGTCATAATAACTGCTAACTATATTTCAGGGTATAATACAATTAGTAACTGGAAAATTATCCGAACAAGATGGACCCCGTCCTTGTGAGGGCCTGTATTCCATTCGTTTAAGTCATATGCTCTCTGAAGATGTATATTGGATGCATCCAGATGCTACTATGTATCAAGTGATTGAAAAATATAAATCTTTTAATTCCTTGGATGAATGGAGGTTTGTAAAACATAATTGTTTAAAAAATTATTGAATTTTATACTAAAATTTCTTAAATATTACTATAAGGGTCTGATCATAAAATGATTTGAAACTGCTTTTAAGACAAACTATAATATTAAAAACTGTGCGAATAGTTTGAATTTTAAATTAAAATAATTAAAATATTCTATTTTTCTTATATAAAAATTAGATTTTTTAATATTTTTTAAAATAAATAAATTAACAAATAAGTTTTAAAGAAAATATAAAAAATATATAAAATGTATTTTTGAATATTATAAATGAGAGTTGATTGATAAAGATCTGTTATTGCAGTGTTTTGTAGTGTTGGTAGGGAAACCAATAACCACTACCATTTATTAGTCACAAGTATCTAGTTTGTATTTGTGCAGTCTTAATTTAATGTGTTTCATTGTTGCATAACAATCAAGTTTAACCCGTCGGCACGTGCCTAGTGCCAATTAGGCACCAATTGATTTTACCAATTAGGCACCATCGATCAATTAATTAGTTCGTGTAAAAATTCTAATTGTGTGAAAAATCTGAAAAAATTATTACCTGTCTAATTTTTCTTCAATTTTAAGATGCACAATTTAGTTTTTGCTTAAAGCGTTTCATTATTTTTATTTAATTATTGGTGCCGAATCAGCACTATGGTGCACATAATCTCGGATTTCAATTTTCAAATTTCCCGCTAGTCACTGTTACTAAAAATAGCTGCAGCTACAGCGCACGCTTCTTCGCTTATAATCGCGTTATTATAAAGCGAATAACTTGTAAAAAAACTGAAATTTGACCGGAAATAATTTAATTTCTTCCATAGGTATTTTTTAAATCATTTTATAAAGTTTTATGACACCATCACATTTTCCTGAGTTGAAATAAACAATTTGTTAGCCATTTGATTCTCAGCTTACAGAGAAGGAAATTTTTGAAAACAAAGTAATAGAGCGATTAGCAGTTTGTTGTTTTTCACAGTGGAGGACTAGTAAGTCTATATACTCTAGTAAGTCTTAATAGACTTACTAGATTCTAGTAATAGACTTTAGTAAGACTTACTAGAGTCTATTATTTTTCAGGGAATAAATAATAGAGTTGAAAAATAACACAATTCCACGAAATTTAACAAATCTGATGTTAATAAACGAAAGTTGAAATTTTTTATAGTGAGTTGATATTTTATAATTTTAATTTTTGCATTTACAAATCAAATTAAAAAAATATAAATAATAAAAATTTTATTTTTTTACAACAAGTATTTTATACTGTTAGATAGTAGAGAAAACGTATAAATCGAGGACTTAATCATAGTCAAGCATTTACTGTATATCAGTAAAAATATAAAAAAATTGCATTAATTTGCTTTATATATTTTGCTGTTAAATTGTGCTAAGTAAACTTTAAACTACAGTCAGTAATATATATTATTCCTATATAGATTTATTAATTATAATAAACATACACTATGTCTAAAATTACATTAAAATAACACTCTTTAATTAATGTCTGGAATAAAAAAGTAATTGAATCAGGTCCCACCGCCATCTTAAATAACGCGTGACAGTAATTGATTGATTCTGAGCGCGTCGCGTTGCATCAAATTAAATAATTTATAAAAATTAAAATAATAAATATGTTTACAAAATAATTGACTACATCTATTTGCAATATTACTGTAAAACACATCATACTTATAGTTTAACATTTCTGATAACATTTAATTAATTTTTGAATTTTCTTATATTTTATATATAAAATTCGAATAAAAAAACATAAATGCGTAAAACTTAATAAAAAAAATATCTACAACTTTAGAAAACATATATATATGAGAATCTATCAAAAAAAGTTAGTTAATAGTAATTAAAATCAAGAAAAAAAAAACTTTCAAGGTAAGGTAATTTCTGTGGTAAAAAGTGAGGTAAGCGATCACATGGCACCCGTCTCCCCATCGTCTGTAACCAAAATGGACAAGGGTGAAATAAAAGCGGAAACACCAGTAGAAGTAAAAACAAACATAAGCGCATGTCTAGGACAATAAACTTGAACAGGAGCGAAGATGAAACACGACACTTTGTAATTTATGCTAATTACCTTCTAATATTAAAAAATTAAAATAATCAACAAAACTATAACAAAATTAAAATTTTTGGAATAAATTTGACTACAAACATATCATAGAACTGGATTAAAGTAAAAATATCTGTTTTTTGATGCTAAATTTTTATTAATTAATTTTTTAAGTTGGTGCCTAATTGACCGAGTGCATGTAATTTCTATTTGACAGAGCACGTGCGTGCTGATGGGTTAAACTTGAACTCTCTTTTTATTCAATACAAAAACAGCAATCAATGAGTGAAATTTTACCATTAGCATGTTGTATTCCTATTGATATTCAGTCATTTATTATCATAGATGATTGATTTAAAGAATGTTCAAAAGTGAGTTTGACATGTAAATTCCTCAATAAAGGTGAGATGAATATCTTCAATGAACAAAGGCCAGGGTAACCAATTTCAGTAATGTATGAGAATAATCAAGCTGAAATTGATCTACTGCTTTGAGGATCAGTCACTGGAATTACTATCCAACTACACATCAGTCAAGACAGTGTAGCACATTGTCTAGATCCACTCTTTAAATTACAGAAAAATCTTAGCTGGATATGTACTGAAACAATTGACAGATGTCAAGAAAGAACAGCAAGTAAAAGTTTGTCAAAAATGCCACAGTCCTTACTATTATGAAGAAGATAATTTTTTTACTGTATATTACAGAGCAGAATATTGAGACATCTGGATTAGAGTATATCAGATTTCAGCTAGGGACAACTGATTTAACATTTGCATAAAGTATGTTGGATACACTTCTTGACTGAGACAAGGCTTTTAGAACACAAGTTTGACATACTCTCTAAGAAGACTATGATGGAATTAAACATTATTTTATATTACTGGTTTGCTATGGAAGATAATGATACAGTGGAATGGGAAAAAGGCAGAATCATAAGACCAGTTAGAGAGAGGATATTGGCAAAATTTGCTGAAGTACTAGAAATATACAAGGTGAACGAATTAATAGAAGGGATGCAGCATTTGTTTCCAGTGTATAAAGTTTTTGTGAAAACTAAGATTACATTAAGCAGGATATATGTTCTGCTTAATGTAATATTATTATAGAGCTTTTAGTGATTACTCTGACTGGTTTAGTGCAATATGGATGATATTCATGTTAATATTTATCTTAGTTATACCACAATATATACATACTGAAAAATGTTTTTTTTTCTTTATTCTTATTTTTCTATTAAGTTTATTTGTTATGTTGTACACATTTCCTTATTTAAATTAATTTGAGCACCACTGTATTTTATAGTATATACCAAAATTTTTATTTCTTCATATTTATTTTTACATATTTTTGCTCATGATTACGTACTATGTCACCACAAGTGAATAAGCTTCAGACATTACTGCACATGGATGAAAAAGACAAGCCTGATATGAAAATAGAATACCATAGTTGCAGCGTTTTTTAATTGTCCATAACATTACACTTCAAATATAACAATACCCATTGGCACTCAGCCTCAAAATGTTTTTACTGTATTCTGGTTAAAAAAATTAGAATTGACACTTTTATTTATTAGGGAAAACGAGTAGATTAAAAGAACTTACTTACTATTAAAATATTCTACATGAATACAAGCAAAATCTGCTTAGCTATAGCAAGAAAACATTTTAAACAACAATAATTTATACAAATTGTAACAAGCCAGTAACATAAAATAACTTCAGTATTAGTCTTACTCAGCATGATAAGAGAACAGACAAGAAGCATTACTCTTCAAAAAAAAAAAACTTTAATCATCTTTAAAGCTCAAATTCTGCATCATCAAAACCTAAAATGTCACGATTATTTCTGTTTATATACTCTGAACAGATGGTATTGCTCTCTTCAAATAGTACATCATCATCAGTTCTGTCAAGGGTATTATTTAATTTCATACTGTTTAAAAGTTTTCACAATTGAGGAGCTTAGTGGAAAAATGGCATAGCCCACAGAACTACAAAAATAGTTATTAACAAATTTGGATTTGTGCATCATCAATCCATCTAAGAAACTTTCATGGTTCAGTTTTATGCCCCATGGTTTGTACATCTACATTAATAAAACATTGCATATTAAAATGCCAGTGAATTGAAACACAAATCCTCTTTTTACCCCAAAAACTTCCTAATGTGGATTATAACATTAGGAACATTTTTATCATTTAACATTATAACATTTTTTTATCAAGACCCTCAATTATTTCAGTTCTTATATCATTCCATACTTTCTTCACTCAGTCATATATCATCTGTGCGGGCTGCTTCACTTTCCTGTGAGTATGAGGTCATGATCTGGTTCTATTATCCATTTGTTTCATTGTTCCCACACATTTTCTTTAGATTGTTTATTTTTGATACTTCTAATGTATTCCATTGGCTTTTCAGATCACTAATATAACAGCTACTTGGGTGTTCAGTTGAATTTTTTTTTATTGACTTCACTTCTGTGTGCTCTAAATTGATTGCAAACTAGAAGAGAAGGTTTTCTTAAGAATCCACCAGGATGTCTATCTCTATACTTTTTTAAGTAAAGTTTATATAGTTTCATGCCATATTTGTTCATCCATCCTTTTACATGAACATAAACAAATACACCATTGTCATATTAGCTTTTGATCCTGGGTTTTGATATTTCTATGATAATCAAATGTTATGTTCTCAGATTTATCATACAAGGGAACACTGTCTTTTTTTAAAAAAATACATTTCTATTATGTTAACAGAAAAGCATTTGGGTTAAGCCCCTAATCATTCTGTTTCTGGAAGTTATTACATTGATGTATGCATATAAAAGGATTAAATATAGTATACATATTATATTATTTCATTAAAAAATTCAGCACTATGATTTACTTTATTAATGTTAACAATATCATATTTTCAAAGTTCAGAAAAATACATTTAAATCTTCATTAGTAAAACATTCCAAAAATCTTAAAAATTGCATTAACTACTTTAATCTCTAATGTTTTCAGCCATATTTAACTGATCATGTTCAGGATAAACTGATAAATCAGTTATACAGTAGTTGAATATGGTTTATGTTTATGTAACATCTATAGAGAGATCAGAAGAGCCACAGGGCATGGAATTATCTTTCAAAGAAACTTGATAATATACAGAATTCTATGAAATGACAAAAACCACTGACACATTGGACATTCTTACAGTTTAATGCAAGTTTCAAATGTTTTGGAGTTTTTTACTATTCAGCATTGCATTTCTCAGTAGTTAAATCTTCATTATTAATTTATAACTTCATTTTAATTGAAATTTATCCAAGTTACTACAATTATTTCTTATAATTTTACAAAAAACTCTTTTTAGAATATAATGTTATAACCTTGTTTTTTAGAAGTTATAAATCAGTAATGCAGATTTAAATGTATTTTTCCAAACTGAAAATTTTGTTAACATTATCAAAGTAAATCATAATGTTAAAGTTTTTAAAGAAATAATCTAATATGTACAATATATTTAATCTTTTTTATGTGTATACATCAATGTAATAATTTTCAGAAACAGAATGAGGGACATAGCCCAAATTTACAGATCTTTACAAAACTTATCTCTACCCTCAAAATTAAGTCCTTTATATATTTTTAATGATTATAAAATAGCAAAGTTTTTATAACAAAATTCATAATAGATGGTGCCACATGTAATTTTATTTATTATGATTAATAATTAAAAGTGATTTTTAAAATAAAATCTCATAACAGTCGGGAAAGCTATGCAACTCATTGCTAGATTTTTTTTAGATAGTGACAAGGTTAAATTTATTCCATAGATAGTATTCTGAAGTTTAAATGGTAACTCATACAACAAGCCCTTAATAAATAAATTAAAAATTTGCTGAAATTATAAAGTTATTTAATAATTTTTTTATATTAATTATTTTGAATTAGATCAGTAATTAATTTTCAATTAAATCTTATTTAATACAAAGTTAATTTTGGAATTTGTTAGATAGCAAGATCTGAAATGGAAACTGTGTAAACTATTTTTATTATAAACTTTAAACCATATTTGAAATATTTCTAGGATTTTAAATTAAAATATATAGGGGAATGTAAAATTTCTTTTAGATAATAGGTTGTAAAATTATTTTATTATTTTTATTACTTGTAAATATTACTTATTGGAAGAAAACTACATAAATAATTATTAGAGAAAATATTGTTTTTAAATATATATTTTATTTTATTTTAAACTTTGATTACTGTCAACTATTTCAAATGAAAATATATGACTTATGAAAAAATTAAAAGTAAATATATGAATATAATATAATAATGCTTTATATTTTTAGATATGAACTGAGGGTTAGATACTTACTAGAGGATATCCATGAATTATTCAATAAAGATAAAGTCACATTCCAATATTTCTATGAACAAGTATGTATGATTTAATGGTGAATTGATAATTTTACAATTTTTCGGAATATGTAATGATGATTAATTGTTTACAAATTTCTTATAATTAGAATTTAGTTTAGTTTAATGTTTCTAAATGATTTAATTATTTGATTGAAGGTAATAAGGAAAAGTAATTATTTTTTGATTATTTTAATAGTGGTCTTTAATTCATGAAGCTTTATCTGTAGGATCTATAAAATTTTTATGAATTTAAGATTCTAGAACAAAGTAGAGAACAATCTGTGGTCAAATATCAGAGTTCAAAACTAAACTTATTTTAAAAAAAAGACTAAAACTTTATATAAATACTTAACTTAGGTATAATTATAAGTATAACTTATTTTTAATTTTTTTAATAAGTATTATTTTCCTCATTTATTAAAATATAATGTAAATTGTACTTTTCGAATCTCGGAACGTTTAACTTGAAGAAGGCCGACAAATACGGTCGAAAACATTTGTTTTTTCGAATAACTATTTTACTGGTTACTCAAAGGTTTATAGTGAATCTATTTTATAAAACAATATGTAATTCAAAGAGAAGATAGGTAGGTACAGGTATTTCCCAGTTAATGTCAGTAATCCATTTCTGAACATCAGACATTCTAAGTGAATGTCTGATGTTAGGATGTTAGGATGGTTAATTAATAAATACAATTAATAAATATATCAGTTATCAGTATTATTTTAGGATAGGTATAACATCTACTTGGGGACACCAATAACCATGGAAATGGCTGTGTATCACTTGTCAGGTGATGCCATGTCTCAATAACAATAGAATGTGGTGCATCACACTTAGGTTGTTGAAACATTTTTTAAAAGTAGTGATTTGATGACTTGCTCAGCAGAAGTTTTGAACTCATTTTAATGTTGTATGTCTCAGAAGAGTTCCAAGCCAGAACCCTATTCTGAAGTGGATCAAACACCTGAGAATGATATTCAGCATTGCCAAGGAAAGCTCATGGAGGTGAATGAACTGTTTGGACTTGTGAAAACATTGAACTGGTGAGACAAGCTAAGTAGAATAGCTCTCTCATTGTTCAGTAGTAAGATACACATATGCTCTATGGATGTCAGATAGGTCAGTTTGAAGAATTTTACATTTAAACCTAAATTATTGCCAAAAAAAGATCATGGTTGTCCAAGAGCTACAGCAAAATGACTTGGTAAACTGAAGATATTTTGCAGAGGCAATACTGGAATTTTTAAGGAATGATGATGTGGTGGTGACAAACGATGAGTTTGCTTTTATGTCTCAGTTTGTGTTAACAAACAATTTCCACTATTGGTTGTCAACGCCAATAGTGCAATTCTAGGCAACGCCATCAACATCCCCTGCACAACAAACGTTATAACTGTATGGTGTGGGTTAGCAATGTTTGGAAAAATTAGCCCATACTTTTTTGAAGAAGGGGATGACCAGTAACAGTGACTTCACAATGTTTTGTTGTTGGGATGTTGTATGATTTTGTATTGCCCTAACTGCAAAGCCATGGCATAAACCATTGAACTGTTTTGTGTTTTTTCTTGCATTTATTCCTGATGAGGGCCTCTGAAAGACGACCAGAAACATTTGAACATTTAACATTTTTTGTTCATTATATGCTGGAATTCGCATTTAGGTGTCAAGTACTTGTTTAAACCATTGAATGATAAGGTTTCAACTAGATAGGACAACTGCTCATACAGTGAGGCATTTAATGAATAAACTTTGACAAATGTTTCCAAGACACCATTTTTCTGCATGGGGACCAGCTTGATCACCCAACATTTTGGTGTGTGATTAGTTTTTAAGCAGCTCCATAAAAAGTAAAGTATATATATCAACAAGCTGATGCCCTCAAAGATGCATTCCAGGTAAATCTATAAAACATGATTTAGTAGGCAACGGCCAATTTCTCCACAAAGCTACAGGAATGCATAGACAAAGATGGATGCCATTTGGAACAACATTATTTTTCAAACCTAATGACTTTTTCTCCTTTTTTTTTACATTATTAAATGGCATACATTTCTGTTTCTAATTGGAAAAATAAAATTCACTTTTCATAGATAACTGCACAATTATTCTGAAAAATGTCATACTTCCTGCTGGATCCTGTGACCTTATATAAGTAAAAATTGTAACAGTATTAAAATTCAGATAATTTTATACAAAAAGTAACAAAATAGTAAATTATTTTAATTATTATGATTAGAACATAACTCAAAATTTTATGTTGTTTTCTATCTGTGACAGTGAAAAATGGACATATATAAGGAAGAGAAATTGGAGAAGCAAGAAGCATCAAACAAGGAAAAAAGATTGTAAAAAATTTTGTGAAAGAAATTGAAGCAAGTGGAAATATTGTGTATCATTTTTTACTATCTAGTCAATGGTGAATTTTTACTAGCAAAAAGACTGATGCTTGTTGGAACAATTTGCTACAATAAACCAGAGTTCCAAACAACACTTACAAACCTAAAATCCAGTGAGAACAAAAACATTTATTGAACAACAAATGTTTTCAACCTTTACAAAGGCCATCTTCAGGTTCTACTGGTAAAATGCAAATCAAACAAAAACAGAATGTAAACAACGTTCATTGCATACAAACTTTGCATGCTCAGGAATGCAGTAATAAGTTAGGAAATAAAAATGATTACAAAAGAAAAACAACACATACAAAAAAATGTTTATAAATAATAAAAAGTTGGAATAAAATATATTTTAAAACACCTGGAGGGCTGATATATAATGATAAGATGTAAACATTATATATATACTAAGATCAAACTGTTTACAAAATATTACAAGGTTGCTTAATGCACTTGAATACTGCCCCCCAGGCATGTGACATAGGAGCCATGTCCCTGCTTTTGATAGCTGTTTTTCTAGAAATAGTCCTGTATATCTCACAAATCTCCAGGTATGTTAGATGTGATGGTAATGCATTTTGATGTAGAAGGTGAACTCTATCAAAGTGAATCTCTACATCTTCATTCAATGCATAGGCAGCCAAGGCCATACCTGATTTCTTAGTAATTGAGTTGTGGTGTTCCTTGACCCTAGTCATAAGGGATCAAAAGGTCTATATTACATAAACCCAATTCAGAATAAGATGTGACAATTGCTGAAATAATAATATCCTATAATGCAACTAAATCAGTAATTGCCATAATGGATCAAATGATACAATGTTATATGGTGAAGAGGATGATCAGAAGATGGCTGTTAGTGAATTTTTACAATATTAATGTTCTGAACTCTTTCATAGTGTGGAAGTCTATTACTTCTAGCTATGAACAATGCCTCTAGTTTATTATAAACTAGCTGTTACCAGCGGCTTTGCCCGCGGAGGTTTTGCAAGCAAACCCCATTTATATTCAGTATTTCAACAACCATAGTAATTGTTATATAACACCTACTGCTGAGAATGAGGAGAATTGCTGAGAATCAAACAAACTATTTTCAATTTGATCAATTTTCTGGAATGTTTACAATCATTCTATAATCGAACCAATATGCAATAACAAATTCAAATTTAAAACAGTTCGAACATTTGGTTAAAAAATTGAAATATATAAAAATATTTATAACAATGTCTGAAATGTTATCAATTTAATACACCTAAGTACTCGATGAAGACTAAACGCAGTTAAAAACAAAAAATCACATCTAAAATAGTACAGTAGAAGCTGTTCTTCCGGTTAAGCCTTAATGCTCTCCTTCTTCCCCCCACGGAGGAATTTCGAAAAATCCCTTCTTAGTGTGTGTTTCCATGATGTACCCTAACTGTGTACCAAATTTTACCTCTTTAGGTTCAGCGGTTTGCTCTGGACGATGATGAATCAGTGAGCAAGTCAATCAGTCAGGACACGTAATTTTATATACTGTATTTAGATTTAAGTAATGCACTGGCAGAAGTAAATGTAGATGCCAGCATACTGGAAATGGCTAAATCTGATAAAAGTTTCCAGGAACTATTTTCAAAAGGAAGACATTCTTGTATGTATCCTCCTCCCTTACACTGTAAAAATAAAATTTTATGTAAAAAATGTAAAAACAATATGTATAAAGATCACTAATTTGTTATTTACAAAAATTGTTATGAATAATCAATAGATAACAAAGAAGTGCTCAAAGTGTACCTAAGTGTTTATCACAATTTAGCAATTATTTTAAATAAATATTTATTTAAATTTACTATTGGTTTTTGTTGTTATTTAAGCAATAGCAAGTAGTATTTGGAATGTAACTTTAGACTTTTTGGCCTTAAAAATGAACATAATTTGACCACATGTTAAAAACATAAAAAATAAATAAACTGCTTATTTAAGAAAGTCAAAAGATATTTAATTGAAACATTTTTAGTAGTTAGTTTTAGCTATCATCCAGAAAGTACATTGAACAGTTTGGAACAAAATTTAAAATAAAGAATCAGTAGTAACAGTAGATATTAGTATAAAAATTTTTTAATTTTAAAATATTACATAAATGCAATGATTAATCAATTTTAAAATGAAATAGACATACAAAATAAAAATTTGATAAAATGAATAATAAACTAAAAAATTACAAGAATTATAAAATAATCAGATAAAATGTCAAAATAATGAAATTACAATGATTTACTTGCTATCTTATCATATAGGGAAAAGAAATTTAATGGTCTCAGAATCCGTATCCAAGCTCTCTTGATATTACAGATATCATGTACATTTTTAATATCAATATGATAGTCTAATAAATGTATAGTTGTTTGAAAACCTGTAATCCTTGTAAATCCATAATTGAAACAAGCTTATTTCAGAGAACTTTTGTATTAATATCTAATGCTCATTGGATGTGTATGGGCTGTGCTAATTCCTAGACACAGTATATGTAAATATTTCAAAATTCTTGTTGTTATTCTGTACTGAATCCAATGTAGTATATCAGAATTTTTATGACTAGCTTAATGAGATAAACTCCTCCTTCATTAGAGTCATGTATTTTATCCTTATTCAATCTTAAAATATGCATTGTTGTTGGATGCCTTTCACCATATGACTGGTTACTAGAATTATTTAAAAACAACTTTAAAAATTTGTTTGTGATAACACATTTGTAGTGTAACATTATCTAGGAAACTTTCTTAGAAGAAGACAGGACTGCTGCAAATGAGAGTACAGTGTGTGCACAGCAAACACTGTAAAGCAAGTATTGTCATCAAGGGGCACCAAAAGACATTCTTAATTAAATACTTGTTATTTAAATTATTAAATGATAAAAAATGAAATATTATATTGAAAAAGTGAAATTGTGAACTTTTATTAAAGTTCACAATTTTGCACTTTTATTATACAGGGTTCAAAGTCTATATATCTATAACTGTTAAACCACCTATTGTAGCACCCATCACCTAAAGGAAAGTGACTATATACAATTCATTGAATGTGATTTTAATGCGCATAGCATCAAAATATGGAACTAAAGAAAACTAACTCAGAAATTAACAGAGATAGGCCAAAAGTTTTAATTACAAAATGAAAGAATATTGTTTATTTACTACAAAACTACTTGATTCAGCAGTAACATTTTCAGGAAAAAGCTGAAAACACTAAGAAAGTAATAAACATTTATGCATAAAAGAACATTGATGTAAGGCAAAGTTTGTACAACTCACTCACCATGTAGTCTACTGTACACAGTGTTCAAATGTGTGCCATCAACAACAATGCACTTCTGGATTCAGGATAGAACATCTTGAATAGTATAAAGTATTGCAGAGATTACAGAATTACAGGCATTGACAATGCTTTTCTCTTTAAATCTGCCATGTTGGAAGATTCTGTAGCATATACTTGAGTTTTCAGGTATCCCCAAAAGAAGTCCATTGATGCTAAATCAGATTAACATGGTGGTCCTTTCCATATAACCACCATATCCAATAACTCTGTTGCTAAATGTGCAAGGCAAAAACAAGTGTTTTGTGGCAGGACACAAAACACTTGTTTTTGCCATACAAAACATCATGTTGAAACCATATGCAAGGCAATGCATTCAAAGGAATAACATCTAACCAATTGCTTGTTGTACAGTTGCAACTGCTTTTCTGTTGCTATCATGAGCTGGTTGCTGGAAGTTGGTTTTTCACTAACACTTTCTTAATGTGATTGCTTTTTCCTGTAAGTGTTTTAGCTGAACCAAGTACAGTTTTTCACTAAATAAACAATGATCTTTATTTTGTAATTGAACTCATTACTTATCTGTATTAGTTTGAATTATCATAGTTTTCTTTAGTTTGATATTTTGCCACTAGGAATGCTAAAATCACATTCAATGGATTGTGCCCAAGGCCAATTTCCTGTAGGTATAGTACCAGTTACTTCTGTGGCACTATGACAGGTGGTTTAAAAGTTGCAGAGGATGTATGGATTTTCCTTTAAACTTTGTACTTGTATTTATATGAATTTGTAGTATTGCATGATCAAACATATGTAAAGTGGCCCTGGTGCCAAGTTCCTCATCCAGCAAAGAATAAATTTGTACCAACTAGTATATAGCAACATTGCCAGATATTCATACCATTCAAACTCAATTCAAAGGAGTTTTGAAGGCAATAAAAAAAAATGGGTATTTACAGTATATTTGTACTAATTCATAAGGAGTACAAAAAATAGGACTGGCATCTGGGTGTGAGATACCCTAACAGCTGCATTGAAAGCAGGTAATGTTTTAGCATATATGATTTAATTAAGCTAACAATGACATTCTCAAAAATATGTTTTAAAACAATGTTAGATAGTTAATGCAGTTCACTATTTCTTCCTGCTAATAAAGATGAACCCACTATATCAATGCTCTAAAAATGGTTTATAGAACATGTTATCATTAGCTTTAATTTTAAGTTTCAAATCTCAAACTTACCAAAATTCAATAGGTTAAGTATTTTGAAACTATCATTTTAGAATTAATTTTAAAATATTAATTCAAAACGTTTATCAAGTATAATTTCTCTAAATCACAAATAAAAATCTTAAAAGAATTATTATCCTTAAATCTTAAGAACCAATTCTTTGCCAGTTTCAAACAAACTTGTCACACATCTCACTATCATTAATCAAACTTATTTTCTTATTAACTAGCCATCTTCTCTGAGGTTGTTATTCACTAATATTTCCATTATACTTAAGGAAATATCATTAGAGGAAGATAATGATATTGCATTGTACTTTACATCTTTTTATTTAATGCCCACTTTGCTGATACTGTGCTAAGTTTGGTTTAAAATTACTCTCAAAGAATATGAACATTTATTAACCCAAGTTGAAAATTAGCTGGATTAATCATTTTTATTTTGATGATAATTATGGAGTTAGTAAGGAGTAGGGTTTCTCATTTCCCGGTCTTTTGCTTGTCCCGGGATCCTGGGATAAAAGTGAACTGTTTCCCGAAATCCCGGCTTCTGGATTCAGGATAGAACATCTTGAATAGTATAAAGTATTGCAGAGATTACAGAATTACAGGCATTGACAATGCTTTTCTCTTTAAATCTGCCATGTTGGAAGATTCTGTAGCATATACTTGAGTTTTCAGGTATCCCCAAAAGAAGTCCATTGATGCTAAATCAGATTAACATGGTGGTCCTTTCCATACAACCACCATATCCAATAACTCTGTTGCTAAATGTGCAAGGCAAAAACAAGTGTTTTGTGGCAGGACACAAAACACTTGTTTTTGCCATACAAAACATCATGTTGAAACCATATGCAAGGCAATGCATTCAAAGGAATAACATCTAACCAATTGCTTGTTGTACAGTNCATAAGCACAATTATTCCAGATATTACAGGTTCCAACAAGTAAAGAATTTTGAGAGTCATGACACAAATAAGCTATGTATTGATTATTGACCATTTGTGACATGCTATAATGAGCAAAAACTTCAGAAACTAATAAGTAGGTTTAAAATTGATAAATACAAATGTATTCTGACAGTTTATGAGTTAATTATGCTTTCTACTTGCAAAATTCCTCAACCTTAACACAAAATAAGAAAAAAAGTGAATTTTTAAGAAATTTGCGGGATTTCCCGGGATAAGAAAAATTTCCCGGGATATTTCCCGGTTAAGAAAACAACCGGGATCCCGGAATCCCGTTTGAGAAACCCTAGTAAGGAGTATGATCATCTCTGTATTCTTTTTACTGCATATTGAGATTTCTATTGATTATGAAAATATCATTTTTGTTTGAGAAGTCTACAATAGTAAGTTGTTATAAACAAATTTAAAAGTAGTATATCATACTGTGAAATGATATAAATTACTTATTACTTTTTAACAGACAATACATATTTAAAATTAATATTTATGTAAAAAAAATTATAAAAGTTTCTAATACTTGTATTTAAAATTTTTATTTTTAAAGGTGAAGAATGATTATTTAAGGTTAGAATCTGGTATTGATCAAGATTTAGCTTTGCAACTCTGCTGTATAGAAATCAGGTAAATGTTTTTCCAGTGATTTAATTATTTTTTGAGTAATTTAATTAAATTTTAAAATGTTTTGCTTAATTGTTTACAGGAGGTTTTTCAAAGATATGACTCATGTAGCATTAGATAAAAAGTCTAATTTTGAATATTTAGAAAGAGATGTTGGCTTACATAAATTTCTTCCTTCTTCAGTAATTACAGGAAATAAGGTAATTATTTAACAACAATAATTTAACAAATAAAATTTATAACACTTTTAACAATTAAATTAAGACATGTAAACATAATGTTAGATATAACCAAATGATGATGTATATAATTATAATTATATATTCTGTTTTACTATTTATATTTTTCATTGTTTTACTATTTTATAAATTTTTGTTAAACATTATTAAAATTTAAATATGTTGCTATACTGTGCATTTTCACATACATATATAATTACATATTGAGAGTTTAGAAATTTAATTAATTACTTTTAAATTATGTTTATTGTAAAGAAAAATTAAATGTCTTTAGCAAATTGATGGTATTTGTGGGTTATCCTCCTGCATGTTGTATTGCTTGCATGTCACTTTCCAGTATTGCATTGCCTAACATCATTTTGTGTCAGAGACAAAATAATACACTTATCAAAAATACAAATTTGAAAATTTTCAAAATTTAGTTAAAATAGTACTATTAATGATTTTGGATATTATTGTTACATTAAAACTCTAAAATTTAAGAAGTAATACATAATACAATTTACTTTCTTTCACTTAGAACCTATTTCATAGGCTTGCTTTTTTTTTTTTTTTTCTTTTATACCATGTTGGATTTGTTATTTCCATCTATTTGTCCTCATACCAATATTACACCAACATTCATTTTGTTACACTCACATTTTGGATTTATTTATCCTAAATATAACTTCATTTTAATATCTTTTTGTGAAAGCTTTTAAATACAATATACCTTATTTTGATAGAATACAAACATCAACTTCAGATGTAGACAGATTCCAAAATTTGAATGACGAATCCATTTTCCACAAACTTTTCCATCAACACAAATTCTCAAACGAAGACTAATTTGCATATTATCATGTAATGTTAAACATCATATGGCATATTTGGTTTCTTAAAAATAGTTATTCTGACTTTATAAATGAAAAAATATTTTTAAATGTTATTGAACTAAATTAATCTTAACTAAATTTCACACATATCAAAGATTCAATTATTTCATTCAGTTATCCATTAAAACTTGTCTACAGCATTTTGTAAGCAAGACAATAGAGTACAATAGATATGTTAAAACAAAATGATACATGATGCAATATATGAGAGGATAACCTTAAGGTACCAAAGTGAATAGAGCAAAATATTCCATGATATTTACTGGACATTTCTCAAGATATTGTTGATTTGTATTTCTTTTTAAGAAATAGAAGAATATTCTGTTTTTTTTTCTTCTATGCTTTGTTGCTTCTATGCTTAATTGATAAATGAAATTTTGTTTAGAATTTAAAATACTTAGTAACTAAAAAATTACTTAGAACTCTTATAAAAAAACATAAGAGTACTAAGTAATGTTTTAGTTACTAAGTATTTTAAATTTAAAACAAATTTCATTTTTATTTGTTTATTTGCTTAAATCATAATATCAATAAGACAGCATTATAATTTTCTTCAAATTCAATTATGTACAATAAAATATTTTTAAAAAATGAGTGTTTAATGGAAATTGAAAGATTTTTATTTTTTATAAATATACTTCAAAATATGATAAAATCTTATGTTTTTTAAATTGTTTTATATTGGAGCTATTCACACTGATTTGTAAATAGTCAATTACTAGACTGCAATAAGATTTCACTTTAAAATTTCATAATTTTATATGTAATGTATAATATATGCCATATTAATAAAACTACTGTATTTAAAAATGTATTACTTATGTTATTTTATACTTTTTCTTTATTATTTAAACACTTAGTGCCAGGGGTGGACTGATTATCAAAATTGGCATAGGAAATTACTTGAAAACAGGTCACAAACCCATTTTTTCAAAATGATTAGAATCAAATTTTGTTATTACATTTTTCTTACTAATTGAACTTAAAACTTCAAATACATTTCTTTTTAATTTTAACATTGTTCTATTGTTTGCGGATGATCTGGTCGTGATAGCACCGACAAAAATCTCACTCCAAAGGAAAATAAACCAAATAAATTTGTATTTCAAGTCCAAATATTTAGCAATTAATCCAAGCAAAACTAAAATAATTATCTTTCGGAATAACAGTAAAATATCTATCAATGAAACAAAAATTTATCTCGAAAAAATTTTACTACAAACAGTGAATGAAATAAATTACCTAGGAGTTAATTTCGACTGGAATCTAACATTTAAATCGCATATATCTAAACTTAAAAATAAAGTTAAACAAGCAATAGATAACCTTCTATTTCTGTGCAGCAAATTAAAAACTTCAGATTTAAGAATACATATGAAACTTTACAGCTCGATTATTAATCCAATGTTATTTTACGCCAGTCCTATTTGGTGCTTGGACTATTTCTACCAACTCGAACAATTCCACATTTATTATCTACGCAGACTATTTCACATAGAAAGAACAGTACCGGGATATGCACTACGTCATGAAACTAATCGAATATGGTTATTCCCGTTTATATTAAAGCGAATTATCAAATTCTTCTACAAACTTAATTTCAAATGTGATAATAATTTAACTATTTTATACCATGAAAATATTAGACAAAGTAAACTACAAAAAAATAAACAACTATGGTATAACAAGCTGCAAACTATCTTCAATTCCTTTGGAGTATCAGTTCTATTATTTAAAGATAAAATTCAAGATTGGAAAACAGGTTATTCATTGATGTTAGAATCAGCTATAGCTCAATCTATAACAAAAGATCAGGACTCTCTTTATAGCAGTAAATATCACTCGTGGTACTTGGATATATTTGAAATACCTTCAATGCAATCATATATATGGCAATCGGTAAATTTGAACATAAAACGATTTATAATGCAACTTCGTCTAAACAAATATTCGCTGTATGTTAACAATACTTATATAAGTTTACTAACTAAATGTTTTTTATGTAATGCTGACGTTTTAACACCTTACCATTTGATATTAACATGTCCAAAGTTAAAGGAACTTCGTGAACATTATGATATAAATAGCACTTATAAATGCAACTCGCTAATAGAATTGTTAAAAAATTTTAACAATATGAGTAAAAAAGAATTATATAATATTTATAATTATTTTTGTAAAATAATAGAAACTTATAATAACAAAATAAATTAAATTAAAGAATATGTGAATATGTACGCGAGTAATAAGTGCAAATTAAATAATTAATGTAAAAATATTGTTATACTAAAGATAAATACGGACACATGAAACTACAACCCCTTGTAATAGGGAAGTAATTCCCATTAGACAATAAACTTTTTCTGAATTTTAACATTGTTCTCTTTTATAATTTTTATTTAATTTTAAAAAATACTGGTTTGCAAGGGATTGAAGTAAAAAGCCTAGTGTGTGAACACAGTTTGAGAAGCATTATTTTATGTTATAAGTAATTTTATACAAAGAAGATCTCTAAAGACATAACTGTTCTTTGTAACTTATAATTAAATAAATATTAAAATGAACCCTATAAAATGACAGCATTTATCTTAAATGTTGATTTTTTAATTAACTTTGTGAATTAAATGAACTTCATGTCTAGTTGTACTGTACTTTTAATGAATACATAGTCAAAAATTAAAAAAATTTTTTGATCAGTTAGTGTTACAGTAATTTAGGTAAAATTGATTGAATTTTCAAATTATTGGAAGAAAAATCTTTATATAATATATTAAATACAGAAAAAGGTATTACAGGTATGTTATCAAATTAAGTAATGTAGAAAAAATATAAAAGTTTTGTAAAAATATTCAATGTTATAATATCTAATATATACTATAACAAATAATTATTTATTGTGACATGGTCACAATAAATAATTATTTGTTATATGCCAGGCTACAATTTTTAACTATATTTTTAATTTATTTAATTTAGAATATATGCTCTCCACTTCAGATTAGTAATGACTTTCCCCTGTACATCATACTTTTCTTGTTAGCAATAGTGTAATGCTGATAATTTATCTAACACGTTTCAGGAGAAAACTTTTGAATTGAAATAATGTTGCTTCCAATTTGCATTGGAAGTTTATATATAGTTAATCAGGACCTCCTACTCCTAAGATTTCCATTCCATACCTGGTCTTGTCTTTTATCTGTCTAACTCCATTCTCAAGATTAAGGAAGGACAGACGTACAACAGTGACAATTTATAGTTCTATAATTTTTTCAAATTGCTGTCCAATAAATTTTTGATATGTAATAACATCATACATAGTATAGAAAATTTTACGTATTAAAATTAACGTAGTAATTTATTATATTACATAGGAAATTTTCTGCTATTTATTTGTAATTAAAATTTATAGTGATGATATTCATAAAATTATTACTCTGAAAAAAGTATTAATATTCACAATAGTCAAGAAAATTCAAATTTTGTTATTTATTACAAAGGATAAAGAATGAATTTAAAGTATATGTGAATATATATGGGTACGTACAGTACATAATTCACTGTAATAAATGTAAAATTTATTCACTTTTATAACCACTTAAAAGGGAGGTTTTTGGATGAATAAACTGAAATGTTATGTCTTTCGAATCCAACACTCACCTGAGTTCAAGAATTATTTGGATGATGAGTAATTCTTGAATACTCAGAAGTATTCAAAAATTACTCATCTTCTGAGTAATTCTTGAACTTAGGTGAGCATTGGATTTGAAGGACATAAGATTTTGGTTTATTTATCAAAAAATCTCTTTTAAGTGATTATAAAAGTGACCAGTTATATCCAGCGAATATTGCTAATTTTAGTTTTGTATTAAAATTTATTTATGAAAACAATTTTCATTATATGTAATAACAAAGATATAAGTTTTATTTATGTGTAATTTGAAATGTAAAAGTTATAATAATAGTTAATATGAGATGACTAAAGTTGAGTTAGTAAAAAATTGAAATTCCAAAGAATTAAAAACATAAGTGAAAGCAGGTAATGTTTTAGCATATATGATTTAATTAAGCTAACAATGACATTCTCAAAAATATGTTTTAAAACAATGTTAGATAGTTAATGCAGTTCACTATTTCTTNAATTATTTATTATGTTAAGGTTAATCGTAAAATAATTGTTATATAAAACAAATTAAATATTTAAATTATTTTTTAGCCAAAAACTTTGAGAAAACTGATTCAAGGACATTTTAAAAAATTTTCTTCCTTAAATGAAACTGATTGCATGTTCAAGTTTTTGGAACTTATAGGCTCAGTTATGAAGTATGATAGAGAGACATTTAAATGTGCACTTGGAGTAAGTAAATTTTATATATCATATTTATATTTAAATTTTTTATTTGTGTTAATTAGTTAATATCTTATTTGTTTTAATTAAAATTTTTTAAAGACATCTGTCTGTGTATATACAAAGTACAGTAAAAGCTCCATATAAAAGACCACCAATGGACTAAAGAAATTGAGCTATTATAATGCAAGTCTGTTTTATTGTGATTACTCATTATTATAGACTCATCTGTTATATCAAAAAGTCCATTACAATACAGTAGAATTACATTAGAACAGATCTCGTAATGGATTTGGAGAAAACATCTGCAGTTTACAGATATTTTCTCTAGGTCCAGATGCCAAATCAATGTATTTTTATCTCTTTTAGATGGATTTGTTATTGCTAATATAAGGAGATTCTATTGTATAGTAATATAGACTTGTCCATTATTGTATATTGATGTGACCGTAGGGTCGGTGTCTCCTTGACACCGTGTCAGGATGTGACACCATCGAATCTCGCAGGATTCGGAAATCACGATTCTACATCACGCGAGCGGTAGCAGGTGAGCGGTTGGATTCAGAGTCAAGGTGAGAAGAGAGACAAGGAAGTGATTCACTCAGATTTCATATTAACTAACAATAACAATTTTAATTATAACAAAAGAAAATACAGGTATACTCGATATCAAGCATGACTAACATTCCCCTTAATTATTACTAGCCCATTCGAGAGAGAGAGTTTACAAATGAATCGCATGTTGATAAATACCTTGTAACTGAGTCAAAGATCGGTTATAGGATAACTGGATAAACTGTCGATGGAATGTTTGAGGTTTGATGAAATTGTTCTGGGTATCGTTCAGTAACAAGAACACTGCGGTGGGGAGAGGCACTGAGGTGTGGATATGTGTCAGATATCCTTAAAGAGGCACAGTCTTTTTCACGGTATTAATTCTTGAGGAGGGCAACTTAGGAGGATGACTTCTGAGGACCACTTTTGAATTCTTGGGTTCCTTCTGGGTTTTTTCCATGAGGTCAGGAGGTTGCTGTTAAGGACCTAGCGTTCAATACTGGAATTTTATCAAATGTTCCAGGTGACGCATTAATGACTAGATGGATCCTCCTCAACAAGGAACCAAATCCGTGGGAAATAATATTTATGGATTTTAGTCTAACTTGATAAAACGATCGAAGTTAGATGATGGAATTCCAAAATAATTAAAATTTAAAATAACACTTTATTGAGGGTCTGTTCGTCCCTCATATTGATATTGTGGACAAACTTTCAGTTTTAGAGTATATAAGCCAGGTTTTTATTAAATTTCTAAAACAATACTTTAAAATATTTAAAAAAAGGAGTTGTTTTAAGAAATTCTTGTTGCAGTTTTTCTCTTATATTCCAGATGTCTGAAATTTTCTGTTTACTGATATATAACTTCAGCTTAAGATTTTCCATCTTCAATCTAACAAATTATATCTATTTTTTTTTTTGTGTTAAATCTAAAGCTTTTCATTTTCTTTTATGATCCTTGGCTTTGTTTTATACAATAACTCATCACTCAGAGAAAATGAAACCAAAACTGAACATAATGTGAAAATCTATGCCGAAAAAAATCATTAAAAATGAAATTTACATTACTTTTCTAAATATTTTTTACAAATAAAGTAAATAAAATAGCAATTATGATGAAATAAATAAAATGATGACTACAACAAAATGGAATGGTGACTAAAAAGTCTGTAATAATGGAAGGATAGTCGCCTGTGAAATCTGAAAAATAGTCTGTAGTAGCAAGATTCTGTTACAACAAATGAGTTTTCTTATAATTTTCTTATACTTTTGGCTGGACTGATATTAGCAATCTGTAATAACATGAGATCCATTATATTGGGATCCAAAATTGAGCTATTACTATATAATGCACTCTGATATAAAATAATAGCAAATAAAATATGATTTGAAATTTTTGTTGTTTTCCAAAGAAAATTATACTAATTTGAAAATAATGTTTTCAGACTGGTTGGAGTGTACCTGTTGAGTTAGTTATTGGACCAGAAATAGGCATCAGTTACTTAACTGATAGAGCAGCTCAGGTAAATCAATAGTTTTTAAATAAATTTTTTGTTCGTAATAATTCTTATAATTGTTGTTGAATTTTGTTGTTAATAATGTAATAAATTTATTTTTGAAAATAGTTGGTTTTTGCTGAAAATGAACTTATTTTGAATTTTTCTTTATGTTGAATTTTCTGTTTTATTTTATGGAAAAAATTGATGATTATATAATAAATACAACCAACCTGATAATTACTTCAAATATTAAACTTACAGCAGGATTCCTTTATTGGCTATTAAGGCTAAATAATTACTAAGTATCTTTCATTATTTGAAATCGTATCTGTTCTTTGTATACTTTTTTAAAACCATAATAAACTGTTTATTGAAGACACTATACTATTCAAAATCCTTTTGAATTGAATAAAAAGATGAAAAGTCTAGTGTCTTAAATTAACATTTCATTGTGGCTTTAAAAAAAGGATACTAAATAAAATATTACTAAGTGATTTGGCAGGAGATAGATGGTTAGGCTGCCATCTCTCATTAAATTTAATAATGAAAAATAATTTTAGAATATTCTGGAAGGAAAGATTGGCCAGGAGTGAAACTCAAATTTGCAACTCCTGCTTACTGTTCAGACATGTTGCTGATTATGTTATCCAGACTGCCATCAATCTTCACTAATTAATAAATTAATAATTGAGATATAACCATATTGATCGCTGAACTGGGGGGAAGAATTTTAGTGTTTAAGATTGTAGCTTCTAAACTGTATGCTGATGTCATGCTTTCAGTGGCCACTCTGGAATCCAAACTGTTATAACAGAAATAAACTCTGATTCCAGAGTTTATTTCTGTTTTAACAGTTCTTTACAAAATATATGCTGGTGATAAAAGTTATATACTGCTATGGCATAGTCACATGAAATTATGAAATAAAATTTCTATGGAAATAGAGAGGTTGCGGCCGAAGTTTTCATCTGTAAAACATGAATGTTGGGTGCTGCATACAAGATAGTGGAGCTCGATGTTCGACGTTCATGTTTTACACATGAAAACTTCGGCCGCAACCTCGCTAATTAGAAAAGATGCACAGACTCTACATTTTGAATATTTAAAAACCAATCACTATTTTTTTTATTTTTCTTTCAATAAAATAATTTACAGCTTTGTAAAAAAATTGATATCTATAAATTTATAGTATCTAAATAAGAATATATTAAACCTTTCCAAACATTTTGATATTAATATCTCTAGATGTTAGGATTCTACATTAACAAATTACAGAATTGAATGATTTTGATTTTTGAATGTGTAACATTTAAAATAGTTTTATACAATGCATAAATCATGCAAATTGTCATGATACATATTTAGACTGTAATCTTGCAATAGAGTTTGATGAGATTAAATCAGAGAATTTTTTTTTTTAGAACCTTGCAGAAGTTCTAAACTGATGTAAGAATTATGAAAGATTTGTTATTCGGATTTGTTTTTTGACTTATTAGTATGAGAATTAGAACAAGCTGTAGCAATAGATAGCTAGATTTAAAGTTCAGAGCAATAGTCAAATTCAGAGAAGTTGAAGTTCAGTTTAGCTTTAGGAAGTTTTGATACCAGAGACAAGAAAAATTATATTTTAGCTATGTCTAACTGACAATTAATTGATATCTAGAATAGTTGGTGAATTAAGTGAATAATAATCTGAAATTATGATTATTACATTTCCTGATTATTCTTCAGAACTTGTTGAATGCTGTCTGAAGTATATTATTAACTATTTTTATGGATAGACAATACATAATATGTGTAATAAACTTCTGTATTTTTGTTTTTATACATTTTTTTCAATCTGTCAAAATAAGTGTGGAGAGTATAAGGCGAAATGATAATGCAAAGTTTATTTGTTTTGAATAATTCTTTCTTAAATCATTATGTCAGTTTTAATATATAGTAAACGTTTTTTGAAAATATGATAGTTTAATGAGTAATATTAAACTGTAATAAATTAAATTTTATCCAATAATTTTTAATTTAAAAACATTCAAAATTATTAATTCATTGTTGTTTATATATAGCCAACACACATGGCTAGTTTTAAACAAGTTCAAAACATTCAAACACTAAAAACAGATAATGATTCAGGATGTAAAGCTATTCTTCAGTTGAAAATTGCTGGAGCTGTAGAAGTAAGTTTAACATTTTTTTTTTTTAATTTAAAAAGCTAGCAGGTTACTTAATAAAGATTAATTTTTTCAGATGTTAAGTATATCATGTCCCTCTTTGTGTGTTGCTGAGAGTATGGCAGATTTAATTGATGGTTATTGTCGACTTACCCATGGTACCAAAGCATCCTTTTGGAATAGAAAAGGTTTGTGAAATAGTATTGTTAAGAATTTTAAATATAAAATTATTTATTTTTTAAATTAAGTTTTGAAATGTTTTTATGAAATTAATTATAAAAAAAAAGGTAAAGATTTAGACTTATAATTTATTGTTAAATACATATTTAAATGTTTATAAAAAAAAAAAACCTATTTTATAAATTTTTGTTCTTATTAATTTGATTTCTGAATATAATGTATTACTTGATTGAAGAAACAATTAAAAACAATCTTTAATATATAACGATGATGATCTTAGATTAAGAAAAACAATTATAAACTTTTTTACTTTAGATTCCAATGAAATCTGGAGCTGAGCAGATTTGTCATTATATGAAAAAATTTTTTTAATATGATATAATGGAAATATAAAAAACTTTTTATATTTCCATTAGATGTTATGTTGACGTGTTTATAAAATTAAAATTTGATTATAAGTTAAGACTAACTGAAAATCCTTTCAAACTTTAACTTTACACTTTCATTTCACTCTTCAAAAATTTGCATCTGGTTTAAAGGTCTTTTTTCCATCAATCTTGTAAATCAAGTTATCTCTAACAAGTAAGACTACAGTAGAGCGTCGTTTATTCGAATCAATTGGGACTGGGGTGGTTTGGATAACTTATTTTTCGGATAACAAATCATGTACAAAAAAATATATTAATTTATCCCATGTTGAAATTTCTCTCCGTTGTGTGTCGCTTCGCGTTGAATTTTCGTCGATGTTAAGCCTAACGAAGACTATTGTATTGTTAAAAATTATTTTTTTATTTTGTACAAACAAAATAAATTTATTGAAAAATATAAAAACAATAAAAAATTATACTTCAGATGTTAATTTAGTATCAAAAACGTAAAATATTTGAGTAGCCCGAGAAATAGCCAAAAATTGCAGTGCCACAGCACTAGCGAGAATTTAAATTTGCCGACTGGAATGCTTTCGGATAACAGACATTTCGGATAACCAGCTTTCAGATAAACGACGCTCTACTGTATTTTAAATTGGGCTAAAGAATATCATTGAAAATAACTCCTGGTTTAAAAGAATATAAAAGTTTAAAAAAAATAATGTTGATTTATTTGATGCTTTGATTAACTTTTGATTAGAAATTGTTTGGTGGTTAACTATGTAAAAGAGATGCATTGTAACATCACTTTTTTTGTTCTATCCAAAACTAAAAAGCTAGAAAACAAAAAGTTTCCATTGTAATTTTATGATTAAGATGGATCAAGTTTCTTAAAAAATTTATTTAGTTTAACTTTGAATTTTCTGAGATATGATTGATGATTAAGTTTAATGGTTAGGATTAAATTTTTAATTGTCTGAATTTTATTGAGAAAAATAATGATTTTTCTAAGAAAATGTGCATAAATTGTACTTTCTGAAAAAATGTCTAAATTATTTTTGTTTAAATAAACCTTTCCAAACATTTTGATATTAATATCTCTAGATGTTAGNTTTGGTGGTTAACTATGTAAAAGAGATGCATTGTAACATCACTTTTTTTGTTCTATCCAAAACTAAAAAGCTAGAAAACAAAAAGTTTCCATTGTAATTTTATGATTAAGATGGATCAAGTTTCTTAAAAAATTTATTTAGTTTAACTTTGAATTTTCTGAGATATGATTGATGATTAAGTTTAATGGTTAGGATTAAATTTTTAATTGTCTGAATTTTATTGAGAAAAATAATGATTTTTCTAAGAAAATGTGCATAAATTGTACTTTCTGAAAAAATGTCTAAATTATTTTTGTTTATAATTGAAACTTATAAAACTTAATTTTATCTTTAAAAGAAAAAAAAACAAATGGTATATTCCAGAAATGCCAGAATTACAAATAGAAGTTTTACAATTTTTTTTATTTATTTACTATAAAGTTACATCTTATAATTTCAAAATTAAAATTTATTTCAATATTCTTGAATTATAAGATGTAAGTATTTAAATTTTTTATTTGGTAAATGTTGATTTAAAAATGAAAAAAATATATATATATTAGATTAAAAATTATTTTAATCTATAATTATTTTGGATACAAATACAATATTTTTGAAATTTTGCATTCTCTTCCAAAGTTTGCTTATGGAAGGCTCGTTCAAGTCAATCCACATCACCAGGTTTGTTTTCAAATTACTGGCATGCATTCCTGGTACGCATTTGATCAAATATTCAATAATTAGAATCTAAAATGTAGTTGGGGATACATTAAACAGTTCAAATTTTCTGCATGATTTCACATTTATATATTAATTAAATTCTTTTTTAATAAATTTATATAAATTATAATAATATTTTTTTTTACTTACAGATGCATATTCACCAAGATTAAGGTAACATTTAAATTATAATTAATATAGTGTAGTTTAATAAAGGAAATTTGTTATAAATATATGTATATAGTATATCAAATCAAATCATTTATTAGTATATTTAGGAATTAATCCTATTACAAGGGAAATTCTAAATAGAGTAACAACAAAAAAAAAACTGTAAATTAGATTGACTCTGTGAAAATAAATAAAAACTTTCTTTATTATATAAAGGGTGGCTATCAACTGCCAGACAGACTATATCATTAGTTTCTTCACTAATTTTCTTTCAGGGTAGTATATTTGATGAAATTATATAGTCTTACTATCATAATAGGATCCAGTTGAAATAGATTCTTGTAAAATTCTTCTTCTCTTTGATTCCTATAAAATTCTTCTTTTGACAGTATGACAACATAGAAATTCCAAATTCTGTTCTAAGCTTTTCACTGCTCGAACATGAAAAAAATCAGATGATAAACTGAGAATTGTTCTTGACATAATTTACACAGACTATGTTTAATATCCAAATAATACCTGTTCATCAATATGTAAAACAGTTTAATCTTAAATGCATATAAAACTTTATAATCTTGTGTGGAATTTGGAAGTTAATAAAACTGCTTGATGGAGGAAAATTCAAATTATTTACATACCATGGATGATATTTTTTGTTGATGTGTTTTAGCTGGCAGCACTGGCACTTTTCTGTGGTGTTTTTCTGAGGACTGTGTGTCATGCTGAATCAAACTTTTTTGATACTAGATTAACTTCTAAAGTATAATTTTTTTTGTTTTTATATTTTTCAATATATTTATTTTGTTTGTAAAAAAATAAAGAAATAATTTTTAACGATACAATAGCCACGATTATTATTTTAAAAAGTTTACATTAGGCTTAACATAGACGAAAATTAAACGTGAAGCGACACGCGATGGAGAAAAATTTCAACATGGGATAGGTTAATATATTTTTTCATACATAATCGGTTGTTCAAACAACCCCAGTCCCCAATTGATTCGGATAAACGACGCTTTACTGTACCTGTTTTGCCACCTTGCCATCTCAGACTCAGCACTTAACTCAAATCAGAAAAATATACTTTAATTTGCACCATTGACTGTCATAAGTGCTCCCACTGTATATAGTATATATAAAATGGTTTATGTAACTAAGAATACTTAAATACTTTAATATATTTTTATATAGTAAGTTGAGATTGCCCCATTTTAATATAATCATATTTTGATGTAGGGTTTTCACTTTTTATGGATACATCAAACATTTATTTACAAAATTGTAAATAAATACCAGAAATGTAAAAATAATTGTTTTTTTCACCTGATATATTTTGATTCTGGGGAATATTTTTTTAGAATTAGAAATGAGAAGAAATATAAATTCCATTTTTATATGTTTGCAGTGATGATCTGCCATTTTATCATGATTGATTCTATAAAGTCCAATGATAAAATGTCATTTATCATTCAATTTATGGAATCAAGTACAATATTATTTAACATTTTATTAGAGATATAATAGTTTTCTTCTCTATCAATAATATATCCCATATTTGAGTTTAGCAACTTCAATTTTGTACTATAAAAAAAATGAAATGAGTATTTTGATTTTTTGAAAGGTCATTTAGTTTCATGAAAATATTATATTTATATAATGAATTATAAAAATGTATAAATATGTATACTACAGAAATATGAGAGAGAAAATTTATTTTTTTTCAATAAACATAACGATTTCCAATTTTTAAAACATAAAAATTTATATCACAATTGAAAATAGCTTAACTTTTGGTACTTATTGCCAGCCATTTGCAGTTGTGATTTGTATGGAAAATGGTTGATGAACAACTTTTTCATTTAGTAACTTATTTTTAAATAAAATTTTCATTCGTTTATATTTTTAATCATGCATTGATAAATATAATAATCTATTAATTATTAAATATGGTAAACATTGATTTCATTTTCTCTTTAATGTGTAATCAAATTATTGAACATTCATTTGAATTTATGTCAATTAAAGTTTATATTTAATATTTTAAAAAATTCAAATAATACCCAATTTTTGTTGAAAATGAATTATTATTGAAGTTTTTCATTAGAAGAAATTGCTAATGAAAATATCTACTCAATTCTATTTTTACCCAAATATTTTTGTTTTTTAATGTTTCAGTAAATTTGCTTTTTTAAAAATTTCCATTTGATTCTTAATCTATAAAAAAACTACTCATACTTTCTTTTGTAGAAAATTGCTCATTTTAAAACAAAAAATTCATATGATTTCCATTTAAGGCTGCTACACAGAGCCAAGTAAATTTTAAGATTTGGTTTTTATAAGACTTAGACAGATTGTCACTATATACTTTTGTTTTTCATTTTGCCTCTATCCCATGTTGAAGCAGTGAGGAAAAAATTTAATTTGAATTTTGACAATTTGTTTGTATGATTGTGTTATTTCTTTTAGTATAGAATGTTTTTACATTTGGTGTTAAAAGCTAGAGACATTTCAGTGTTTAATTGAAAAAGTTAAATAAAAAATAAAATTTGTGTGACTAATATAAAATTATTAAATTTTGCTGATAAGTTAAAATTTATCTTATCTATTAACTAAAACTGAAATATTTCATTTAAACACATCTTATTACATTTACTGATTTTTAAGGTTGGAACCAAACTTCTATCTTTTTTTACATGGAATTCTTGGAAACACATCTATCGAGTAAAAGTAGAATCGGGTGTATTAAATATATGACTGAAATCAAATATTAATAAATTTGTTATTTATTTAATTTAGTTAAAAAATTTGGTATATCATTAATTATTTGGTTCATTATTGTAGACAAATTTTTTGTTTGTATATAAATAATTATAAGCTAACAAATTTATATTTAGTAATATAACATTTCTGTTATTAGGTATGGGTTATCAAGAAAATCAAGTGATCCAGGTTCCTCAGACCATAAACATGGTTTTAAATTTACAGGTATGTGCTATTTTTGTTATTTTAAGGATTTTTAGATTCAAGTTTTTTAGAAACTTTCAAACAAGTTAATTATATATTGATTTCAATTAATTTAGTAGCTGTGAATACATAAAAAAAAATATCACTATAGATATTGCATTTTATGGAAGTTATATCAGATAATAATGCAGTTCTTAATATCTATAATAAGCATGAGCACAATGCAGCATGTGTGCATGCAGGAGGCAACTATTTGCCATATTAATAATTTTCTGTGAAAAAATATTTGTGACAGTGATTAGTATTTTTGGTTTGATGTAATTTAGGTTAAAATTTTTTTCTTTTCAATTGAAGACACAAGTGGATGAAGGTGTTATAATTATTCAAAATCTGATTGCCTTGCATAAACAAAGATGTAATGTATCCATCTATCACAATAGCTTCATCAAAGTTCTCATAAATGAATGTTTTTAATTGTGTGACAATTTGCTCAATTTACTCAAAACTTTGATTTTGTAACATAACACCTTTATCCAATTGTTTTGTTACAAACAAAACATTGTATATTTATGCATGTTGTTTTGTGTTTGTGTTCTGATCAATAGTTTTTGAGATGGAGGCCAGATTAATTGTACAACCAGAACACTTTTCTAGCAAATGACTGGTTATCTGACAAATGTTTTTGACTCAATTTATAATTTCTGGTCAACATAGAAATTCATATCATTTTTAAAAAGTAAAACACAACCTTTGTTTTATAATGCTTCTGCTTAAATTATGGAACATCCAGAATTTCATTCCAGAATTTCCAGAACATCAAATTCTATTCTATATGAAAGTATGGAACATTTATACTTTAATGTCAGCTTGAAGATCAAAATTAAAATCAGTTGTGTCAAATTATATAGTAAATTTACTAATTATGCTATAATTTATGTTGGACATTACTATGTAATTTGATGTAATCAGTTATAATTTTGATCTTCAAGCTGATGTCAAGGAATAAAATCTGGATGTTCCTTAATTTAAACTTCCAAAAATGTTATAGAACAAAAGTTGCAGTCCATTTTTCAAAATAATAAAAACTTTTATGTTGACTTAAAGTAGATTTATAAATATTATTTATAAATCTACTTTATAAATAAATTAATATATATTGAGTCAAAAGCATTGTCAGATTACAATCCTTTGCTGGAAAAGTATTCTGGTTGTACAATACAGTTGAATGTTGAAATATGTTCCAGCTTTCTGAAGTCCTCTTTAGTTAAGGGCTGAATTAATGGTTATGCATAATTTTTGACATAAATGTAATAATTAGTGATGTAACGAATATTCGGTTACTATTCGGTATTCGACCTATTTTTTGCTATTCGGCCGAATACCGAATACCTAAAAACAGGAGTGAGAAATAACAAAAACTGTAAATTAATCATTTTGGTATTTAGATTTAATGTTATTGGGTAGTGTTGTTTGTTTATATTTATTTATAACTTATAGCATGCACAAAATAAAAAAGAAAATAATATTAGTCACATGTATTCACAATTTATAATTACAAACATCAGCACACGTACACACCTATTCATTCGAGAATCATCGCACATCTGAGGGTCTGTCCCTGCCTATCCTTCTTTTTAAGCACTCATCTTTGCTCTTCCCTTTCTTTTTCCTCTATCGCTCTAGTCCACGTATGCCTATGCATACATCATAATACCCTGCTCACAATACTTTCAATTTGTCACTTTCTGTCGTAGAGTTCCCATTTTACAATTACGTGACTCATAGCCTGGTGATAATGAAGAAAGGAGACAGGTAGGACGTCGTTATAAGTCACAGTTATGATTTCACAGATTCCAGACAGCATGGTAGCCTGAATGGCCCCAGACTTTTGCCAGTGCACACTAAGTGGCTTTCATTACAAGCATTTAGCTTTCCGAAGTCTATTAAAACAATTGTTTGGCATTGACAGCTGCAAATTTCACACCAATAAGCTGCCTCGACTTGTTCGATTATGTTATCAACTCAATTTCATATTTATTTTCACATTTTTACTTCACGGCCCTTCTCTGTTCTTTTTCTGTTATTTACACGTGTAGGTCATTTCATTGTTATTCACATTTGATATCATTATTTATCACATACTGCCATGACACTCTTGTATGTCAGCTACAACTGCCAAGAATTAACGTGATTGGCAAAGTGTAGTGACAGCGGGCCAATAGAGAGCAGGGTCCTTGCCATAATGCGGTTTGTACGCCAATTTTCATAGTGCGTTAATCAAGCCGAGTAGTTTGAATATTCGGCATTTGGCCTGAGGTCGAATATACTATTCGTTGCAACACTAGTAATAATAATAAAATGTATTTAAAATATATAATGAATAAAATATTTGAAACAAAAATAATTTAATGTCAGTTTAAACTTAAGTGGTTTTTACTGCAGTTTGATACAAGATATAATCCACATGATGATTAGTGACTTATATAAAGAAGAAATAATATTTTCATAATGATGATAGGTTTGATGTCTCCTCCCTGCTTTTCTAGTATTATTTTCAATTGATCCATATAAGATATATATTTTTACATTAATTTAATATATTCTTGAATCAATAAAATAACTATAGCTGGAGACAAGCATTTGAACAAAGAAATTTGTAAAAATACTATATTTTTAAAACTTTCATAAAAAGATTTTAAGTTTCTTGAATTGGTAACTTTTAAATATATTTTAAAAAATTTTTTATATTTTATAAACTTTTTCTTAAGGTAAAAAAGGTATGATATTTTCTTAATATATGATTCACAAATAATAGAGTTAATATTTATCATAAAAATTTTAAATTTGAATATGAATTAGAACATCAGTATGTTATAAATTTTTTAGACATCATAAATGAATGAACTATAGATAAATTTAAGAAGTTTGAAAAACCTAGTAATGTTTAGAAAACTATGAATTATCCTTCATAATGTCAGGCTTATATAAAAAGAAATACATTTATTAATGAAATTTAAAATATATGGAGTAGAACCACAGAAAAAATATAAATATAGTAATAGAAAATACACTTAAAAAATTTTTGTTGAATGACTATCCTATATTATTATTAAATAAGTAGATTAAAAATAATATGACAAAACTGGAGGAGTAATCAAACAAAAGAAGTACACCTTGTATAACTCCAGAATTGTATTTAATTAACCAAAAATGTTTTTGATCTACTTCCATATACTTTCTTCAGTTGGAACATCAAATGTAAATGGAAAAAAAAAAAAAGATTATTTGAAAAACAGTAAACACAGCAGAAATAATTTAAATTAAAAAGAATGGGAAGAATGCTCTAAATCAATAGAATATTTATACAATTCAAATATAATGGATATAAAAAAGAAATAAATATATATTATAATCAAAACATAAAACATAACATAAATACAAGCAAACATAGAGCGTATCAAAATAAGATAAAAGCAAACAATAAACAATTATTGGGGATTAAGCCCAAGTTAAAAGTTTGTATATAGATTTCCATGCAGTTGATAACATGTCAGCATCCTTATGATTGATAAAGTGTTTTCTATTACTGTATTTTATGGACTATAAGATGCACTTTTTTCTTCAAAAAATTGCCTCCAAAATTCAGGTGCATCTTATACTCGAAATTAATATAAAAATGTCCAGTGTTTGATTTAAAATTCCCGCATCTTAAAAATGGCCATATATTTGATGCCGTGGGAAATCTATCTCTATCTGGCAACATTGAATTCAACTGGCAGTAACAGTGCACCGATGCGACAAACACGAGTTGCAGGGTGTCAGGATAGAATCGTCTGGACGTACGATTCCCACGCTTTTTCTCTTTTCAAATGAGCAATGGTTGTCGCCATAGAAACTCAGATTACGAGATGACCGGTGGTTCTGAATCCACAACTGCGGATTGGCCAGCAATCATTGTGCAACCATCGTGCGACCAGTGGACATCCGATAGCGCTACTACGTGTTGATTGGTGGATCAGCGTTTGCTTCAATCCATATAAAAGGATTGAATTTAGGTGGTGAAAATGGTAAAAATGTTATTTTTTTTAAAAATTGCTTAAAAATTAAGGTGCATCTCATAGCCCATAGTATCTTATAGTCCGTAAAATACGGTAGTTTAAAAAATTTCTAATAATTCCAAGAACTTGATAGAGTTAGGGCTCCTGGCAGACCTAATGATCTTAGCCTCATCCCATTTTATCTGTATGCCCTTCTGGGAAACATAACCTGCTAAGACTATGGTGTTGAAATTTTTTTTAATGCTGTATTTGTGTTCTTTAATTCTTTGTAGTATAGTGCATTTGGTAACTTCACACATGTTAATTGCATGTTGAAGTGCTGGTCCTCAATTGGAGTGGTGTAAACATCTGAGGAGTTGGTGTTGCTAAGTGGCTCCTTGTCACTATGTAGAATTCCAACAACCAACAGATTATGCTTACAGACAAAGTTTATGTTTCTCATTTTAGCCAATTTCTTGTGTATTCATCTTAATGCAAGAACATAATGTAATGAACTGTGTCTTCACAACTGCTCTTCTTAGAGGCCAGCTGTGAAGACACACTTCTTGGTGTTTCAAAAGTGCTAATTAAGGTTTGTATCAAAACTGGAGGAGTAATCAAACAAAAGAAGTACACCTTGTATAACTCCAGAATTGTATCAAATCAGCAGGAAATCCATGTTGTTTGGCAACCTACTCAATATAATCCAGTTCGATGTAAGTATCAACGAAATTAGTGTAATGGGTGTAATCTCATCATATTAATCATCTGAATGCTGAGAGTTTCACAGAGAATAGATGAAACAAATTGTGTGGGATGAAAACTTGTTGATAAGTGGACTTATAGTAAATGCCGGTGTAAATTCTGCCATCTTTGCAAGTGGTATATAATCAATATAAAAGAAATAGCTATAATATAAAAAGGGATATTTGAAAATTTAAAAGCAAAATTAAATAATTCTAATACAAAAGTAGCTATAACTATGATAAATAAAATAAATATTTAAGTAGAAATAAAAAAAAAAAAAAGAATTTGAAGAAAAAATTGGCGTGACTTACAAATTATCATGTACTGTGTATATCATAACCCTAAGTTTTAAAATTGGAAGAAAATTCAATTAAAGTATTAAAGAATATGAAGCACATTAAGATTAGAAAGTCAAGAATCATCATGGTTTAAACATTGTACTGAAAATAATTGTTCAACACACAGAAATAATTTAAAATTACTAAATGAAGAAAATAGTGTATTTAAAAGATGATTTAAAGAATGTATGTTTATAATAAATGATATAAAAATAATTAAGTAATAATAAATAATTTAAATAATGGTATGAAAATTGATTCAGGATTGTATATCATATTAGATGGAAAATTATTTAAGTAAGTTAACCATTGTAATCCATAGTGTTATAATCAACAAACTTTTATGAATAACATTAAGTTATTTATTATTTGTAAAAAATTACAATTATATTATGGAATAATTTAAAGAATTTTTGTACTGTTCAAGGAATTATAGAAATAAAAAAAATGTATAGACTTAAAATGTCTCTCATATGTTAGATTACAGCAGTGTTGTATAATGAGTAAGTTGACATTTATTGTAATTGAAAACTTTTTTAAATTATATAATAATAATGTGATTTTTTAAAATAATCTGAGAGGGGCCAGCTAGGTCTACTGACCCAAAATGTATAATTGTAACATAAATAAATAAAAGAAACTTATTTGTCTTCTGAGCTATGTCTGTCCTATTAAAATCAGTATTGATAAGGTTCCTACATGGTTTTACCTTAAGAAAAATTTTTTGTATTTTATATATAAAGAAATTTGCATATGAATAGTAGTTTTCTTAAATTCAGAACATAAAACAAATTTTGAAGTGTTGGATTTAAAAGAAAATTGCAATTAATATTTAATCTATTACAATAATAATTGAAATAATATATTACTTTTTAATATTAATAAATGTTCAAAATATTAAATTCTAATATATGTATTAGAAGACTATGCAGAAATTGTTGATGAAGAAGGAGATTACTCTACTCCAACTGGTAAAAATTGTTTTCTAATTTTAATTTATATACAAAAATTAATAAATTATTTGTATAATTTCATAATTTTTAACAATTTTAGCAAGAGATTATGAATTGTGTCGTTCGGACATTACTTTAGCCGATATAATAGGTGAAGGTCAATTTGGTGATGTACATAAGGGAACTTACAAATGGAAGGTGATCATTTTCTTATTGATTTAGACTAGAAAATTCATGTGAATATATTAATATTCACTAGATAATTGAAGAATATATCAAAATAGCTAATACAAAAATCAGTTTTAATGTACTATAAAATATTATTTTGTTTTAATAATACTAATAATCCTTATAAATGGATTTTATTTATAAAATGAATAAAAATTATTAAAAATATAATACTGAGATGTGTTTCTATGATAGATGAAGACTAATGATTTATTTTCACATATTAGTCTTCACTTATCAGTTGATCTAACAGTTGTTTTATATACAAATATATTTTGAAAAAGTTCATAAAATATTTAAAAAAAGACACTATATTAAAATGGCTTTATTTTCTCTTCTGTTTATAATATATGAAATAAGATTCTTATGTCAAAGTTTGCAGCCATCTGTAGACTTCTCATTTGTATAAATTTGCAAAAATGTTAGTGCCATTTCTAAAGGAAAATTTTTATTAAAATTGTGTTGATAAAAAGGCAAGGTAATAAGTAGGTGATATTTAGTGGACAAGCATATTAACAAAGACTACATTAAGACAGATGAGAAGCCTACAGATAAAAGTCAACTCCACTGTAAGAATGTTATTTCCTGAAGCATGATGATTAAAAAATAATAATAATGTTTTAATATATTGTCTTTATTTTTATTATTATAAAGTGTGTACTTTTATCATCATGGCAATTTTACCAATATTATAATATAATATGCTTTTTGTTGTTTCTGATTAAATTTCAGTTTATTTTAATGATCTAGATTCATCCACAATAACAAATGGAGAATAATCTTGAATTTAATATGTTATACACAGTATAATTCTTGACATTATTGTCTCTCCCTTTTCTTTTTTTTATGAGAAAAACATACCAGGAAATAACTAATTAACCTTCATTTTATAAAATATATTTTGACCAGCAAACTGGATATATATTACTACAATACTCTCAAACCTAAAATCCAATTAAAATCCAAATTCCAAACCTAATTTTAATAATGAACAAATGTTGTTTAAAATTTTCTGTTTGATTTGTGTTCTACCAGTAGAACCTGATGATGGCCTTTGTAAAGGTTGAAAACATTTGTTCTTCATTAAATGTTTTCGTTCTTCTAACTGGATTTTAGGTTTTGGAGTACTGTACTATATTTTGACCTATTCTCTCAAGCATCAGCTATGGTCTTCATCAGTTGATTAAAAAAAATACCATAAAATAAAATAAAATGCAGATTGTGATTTTATATATGATTTCATGGTCGGTCATTTAACCAGTTACTTCTACATAATGGCCAGTTTTTGAAAGTGCCAATTTTCTCTCCATTGGCCTCGATGAAAATGTTAAGCAGTTAAATGGTCAACTGCTTGACACAGCCAGCAGTTAGCAATTTGCTATACATTTTTTTAAGTTATATGATAATCTAACAGTCAATATAAAGAGAAAATTTAAAATATTGAGACACTCAATGATCTATAGATAAGCATGGAAACAAAAATGATTACAATCAAAAGTACTTACTTCACGTATATAAAAATTTACTGTTAAAGTTTAATTTACGATAATGAGTTTTTATTAATTTAAAATGAAATATAATTTATTTTAAAAATATCAATATTAATAAAATCTGTTTTCAATCATTGATATATATCCCTCCTACACGGGTGGATCTACAAAGGGACTAATGGGGCTTAAGCCCTGGGCCTCCAAGTGTCAAGGACCCACAAAGATTGAATTATCATCATAAATTTTTAATACTTTTTCTTTAACAATGAACACTTATCATATAGTAAAAAACTAGTTAATATTAATATATAATAATAATGATAATTTAAGACAATAATGATAATTTCTAGTATTATTTGTTTTATTGTAATCGATGTAAAGATTCTTAATCTAACAAAAAAGGGGCCCCATTAGACTTCAGTAATCCCTAGACCCTGAAAAACCTAGATCTGCCCTTGCTCCCACATATTATTTGTAGCAATCTATTTCCACCTTGTTTATAAATTTGAAAAATTTACAAATTATTATACTAAAATTAATAATTAAATTTAATTAATTACTAAAATAAAAAAACATTCAAATGTAGCAATTATTATAATGTATGATTAAATTATACTGTAATTTTGATTTGTTTTAGTTTCAATTTTGTAAGTCTCATGAAAACTTTAGATTATTTTTACAGAAAATTTTGGTTAACTTTAATACAGAACTGTTTAAGTTATATTGTTGTCATCCCTAGTGAACATTTAAATCATATAATTAAGAACATACTGTGTTTCTGTGCATTTAAGAGCGTGTTTGTATAGATGGGACAAAATCAGCACTATATTGCACAAAGTACAGTACCTAAAACAGTTTTTAAAAAAACCTTAATATTACTGGAAGCATTTTTTTATTTTGGATTTTTAATTTTAATAATGACTACTACAGAGATGTCACTGAATAGTTACTGTATATATACATTTACAATTAATTTACATTGACACAGTAGTGCAGTGTTTTTATAAGACAAACACAACTGACACACACAAGAGCATGCTCGTAAAAGCAAAGCGGGATGTGTTTCAAAACCATAAAAAGAAATGCTTTTCATTTATAGGATTATGCTCTTATTTGTGCAGAAATGTAGTAAGAGTTTGTTAAGTAACTCTTACCATATATCATATCTTAAGTAATGTTCAAAAATAAACAATTTTTGTTTGGAAATATTTGGATTATTTTCTATAGAGGAAACATTCTTCATTTAGTTTGGTAGATTTATTAATTGTTAAAAAATATGTATAAATTAATACAATAAAATTTTTTAATTGTGAACTATATTGACTTTTTAACACTTAAGAGAAAAAAGGAAAATTAATCACTCTCATAAATTATTTAGAAGATTTGTGTGTTTCTGCTATATTTAGTTTAGAAGAGCAGTTTCTGCTATATTTAGTTTACTAAAGCATAATTAATATGTATATAATTTAATGCATTTTGTGAAATAAAGGTTGAGAAGTTGCTTTCTGGTGTCAAGCTTTTTCCTATAAAAAAGGAGAAATGAGATAAACAGTAATGTCAAGAATGACATGCTTGTAAGATATTAGTGAGGTTGCGGCTGAAGTTTTCATCTCTAAAACATCTTGAGTGCCGCTGTCTTGTAATAGACATTCGACGTTCACATTTTAGAGATGAAAACTTTGGCCGAAACCTTGCTATTAAAGATCTAGATTAAAAATTTTATATCCAAAATGAATCAAATTTTAGATTTTTGAATTCACAAAACATTCAAAATCTGAAAATTCTGATATACAGTAAATTTTCTGCTAGTTTTCTGATATAACTTATACACTGTTTTTATTGCAGAAATGTTTAATATCTTAATCATAATATTTTTTTGAATTATTATTACAATTTGAAAGATTTTATGATTAAGAGAGATGAAATTTTACAGGAAGATCAGTTTATACCAGTTGCTATCAAGACCTGTAAAGTTGAAAGTGAAGAATCTGTTGGTGAAAAATTTCTAGAAGAAGCATGTTTGTTTCTGTTTTATTTCTAATTGAGTCATTCATTTTTACAATTAATTTATAGAAATTCTTTTCCCTTAGATATAATGCAACAGTTTGATCATCCTCATATTATCAAATTAATTGGAATATGTTCAGAATCACCTATTTGGATTGTGATGGAGCTAGCCAAACATGGAGAGGTATGCTTTATGCGATTTTATATATTAAAGTATAAAACTCAACCAAAATATTTAGATATATAATATGAATTTAAATAGTGATTAGTATGAAAATAGAGGTCAATAACTTACAAATTATAATTACAGTATTCTGTGACTCTCCTATGTTGTTTAATCAATGATGTATATTACTCATATGAAATGATAAAGATAATTTATAATATCAATTTTAGAATCTACTATATTCATCTCTAAATTATAATTAAATTAAATTGAAGTAAGATAATATATAATAGTGCAGGTCAAACAGTATATATAATTGTTCTGAGTTTACAATACTATATAACTTTTTTTAAGAGTAAAATACATATATTTAGTTNTCAATTTTAGAATCTACTATATTCATCTCTAAATTATAATTAAATTAAATTGAAGTAAGATAATATATAATAGTGCAGGTCAAACAGTATATATAATTGTTCTGAGTTTACAATACTATATAACTTTTTTTAAGAGTAAAATACATGTATTTAGTTAAGAAAAATTAATTACTTAACTTCATGAAACCACGAGAACATAAGAATTATCAATTTCACTTATATTAATCAGTTAATAATTGTAATCATAATAATTATTTGAACAATTCTGCTAAAAGTATAGTAAAAATCATGCCAAATCTACTAAATATATTTCAATTTTGTTTTTAATATTGAGCTTAAGAAATATTTACAAATTAAGAATGAAAGTTCACTTATTACTATAGTGAAATTAATTCTAAATTTTGTAATATAGAATGAAATTTTACAATAATTTCAAAAATAATAAATTATTTGTGTGAAACTTTGTAAGTTTATTGAAAATTAAATTTAATGAAAATAAATTGTAACAGTTATCAGAATCAGAAAAAGTTTATTGTCTATTGGGAATTACTTTCCTAAATTGTAACAATTATTAAACATATGCTATATATGTTTTAATAGTCTTGTGCTACTGTTAAATTCATAATTGATGCTGTTTGTATCAGTGTTTCTCAATTTAATTTGGCAGTAAAATTTTCTGAACTAAAAAAAATTGCAAAATTTCTTATATGACGTTAAAATGAAGATTGTGAAATTATAAGAATTTAAAAAATGGTAAACCATGTTATTGCAAATATCAATAAAACACTTTTTAAAAAATTATGTGAAATAAATATAAAAATATAACAACAGGTGTTATATAGAACATACTGCTTGTCAGAGGAGCATATGAAATTGGAAAATGGCTTATAAAACCATGCACAAAAGATATTGAAATATGAATGTTATGTGAGGAGCAATAATATAATAGTTTAGTTAAATAAAGGTTAAAAGTAATACACATTACCTTTAATCTTTAAAGGTAAAAATTATATATATTTTTAATGTTTATATTTTAAGTAATTTCATGACGTTGGCAGAATCTTAATTTTGTTTTGAAGAGTTCTGGTTTCCATAGATAACCATTTAGGTGACACTGGTTTAAGCAATTAAATTATTGTAACTTTTAGAGTTTAATTTGACAAATAATGCTAAAATTATATTTATATATTATTTTTTTAATTCATAATATTGTATCTGTTAGGACTAAAAATTTTTTGCTTTCTTTAGTTTGCTTCTTAAAAGAAACTCATAAGTAAATAATTTTTTTCTTATTAATGAAGTTATTTGATGATTGTTTCAAGATAAGTGAATAATTTCCTCTTTCCTGCATCACAAATTTCAACATTTCTGTTGCCATTGTGTCCATTTACTCTAAAAAAATTAGATTACTTGTTTGAACTAGTTTTTAATTTTTATTTAAATTTGATAGTAAGACTCCTTGTTAATTACTTTAATTATTAGTAGTTACTTTAATCATTTTAATTTCCTATGAAATATATGAAATTTGTAAATTTATATTATTATTATTTAACACGGCATTTATTTATTTATTTATTTATTTTTTTTTTAGATGAGAGCTTATCTTCAAAATAATCAACATAGGTTAGATTTATCTATTCTAATATTATATGCTTATCAATTGAGTACTGCATTATCATATTTGGAAAGTAGAAAGTTTGTACACAGGTATGTATTTTAGTTTTTAAAATATAAAGTTTTAACATACATAAATTTATTGATTTAACATGTAGGTAGATAAATATTATAATTGCAGAATCTGTTACTAAAAACAAATTTACAAAAGGCCATATATAATTAACTTGAATGCATGAAAACTTGGAAATACAGTCGACCCCTTTATAACACGGGTTCCTATAGTTCGGATTTCTATATGAAGGCGAAAAAATTGCGATGGTATCCATACAAACATGGTAAAAACTCCTATAATTCGGTAAAATGTCATCGGGCAGCCGAACTACTTTCNAAAAAAAAGTAATAAATGGAACTCTGTTAAGCAGTTTTGGTATGTAAAAATAAACAGTTTGAGGGACTGCAATATTTATTTATTTACTACAGAAGGAAATGTCACATGACAATTGATATCCTCCCCTGAAAATAATTGAGATAACAAAGGATTAATTAATTAAAATACCAATAACAAAAAAATAAAATCAATAGACATGATAAAAAAAAATAGGTATATAATTTTTTAGTTTTTATTTAAGTATATTATAAAGTAACTATTTACAAATGTGTGTAAAATGTAGATAATCTTCATGTAAAGATTGTTCCACAAAGCCCATATTCTGAATAGACAATAGAAAAAAGATCTGAAAGAAATGGAAACCAAAAAGATGTGGTAAAAAACAAGTTTGGTTATGAGTAATGGGTAGCAGAACTCTTAGATACAGTGAAACAGAATGAATGGAACCATGGAAATATTTATATAAAAGTAAATGATCAAAGTATTTGATAAATTCAGAAAAATGGGGAATTCCTACTCTGGACCTGGCTACAATTGGCATTAAAGGTAAATGGAATTTATAGAGAGAGTATTTAAAATAAGAAATATTTTACAACCTATATTTTAAAGCTATATTATTACATGAATGGTCTCCCATAGAAATTTAAAGACTATAAATAAGCAATAAATTGGAATAGAATGCATGACCTCTTGCAGCTAAAGCAGAACTAAGATATGGGAATGAATTAATCATCTACTTTTGGCCTACTATGAAAATATACTAAGACAAAAATATAGTGTGTTTAGTTTTGTACTTTTTTTTACAGAATTAACTTAATATAATATTTCTGAACTAATTAAATTGATGACAACCAGCACTCTTATTCCTTAGTGTTTTGAGAAATAGAAAATAATTTGTGACAGCCTCATGAGATTTAGTTTATAAATATACAAGATTAAGCAAATTGTAATTAGCAGAAATAAAAAGTAGACATTGTTTGAAGATCCTGTATTTTATGATGATATTTATGAAATGGATATATGACATATTTATGACATACTCTACTAAGTGTATAAATAAATTGTTTGAATATAGTCCATTCTTCAAAATGGTGTTCACTTCTAGTTTTTTATATTTGTTGTATATCCATTTCATATATGTCTTCATAGAATATCAATAAATTTTGTAATATATTTGAGGGACTGCTATATTTATTTATTTATTTATTGTTATATCTAGAATTATATATAACAGAAGGAAAGATGGCAATCCAGAAAAAAATGACCCTTCAGATTTTTACATTTTTGGACTTGGAACGTTGAAATGTCAAAATGCAAAACAAAATTTGGGGGTAATTTCTGTATGTACAGATGTTAGTGTGTGTGAGGGGGGGCTCAATTTTGTTCAGCCTTTTTGAAGCTTTATAACTCCTGTGCTTTTTGTTGAAAATTTTTGAAGTTTAGCAGGGAGGTTTGTTTATTAGGAGGATTGATGCTATTAAATTTTGGTGGTTAAAGATTGAGGGGTGGGGAGATAAAGGGAATCTTGTGTCTCCAGTAGGGTCGGACTTAATGACGATTTTACTCGTCATTAGCATTTACAATTTTTTATAAAATCCATCCCTGCCTTCAAAATTAAACTTTTTGCTATTTATAATAATTAAAAATATAATAAGTTTTTAGTAATAAGATACCATAACATGACACCACATATGTGGTTTTAAATGTTGCCAGGAAAGTTAAGCAACCTGTTGTTGGATTTTTTTAATTTTATGTTTTAAGTATATATTTAGCCTATCCACAAAATCTGGAAATTCAGACCACTTTTAGTCCTAAGATTGCTAGATATTTGGTCTGGTATTATATAATTATTACTTATTAATCATATTTTAAGTTTTTGTAATCATAACAGATGGCACCACTAAATGTTACTAGGAAAATTAAGCAGCTTGTTGGATTTTTTTAATTTTTTGAAAGTTTTCTCTGAGAAGAATAATGTTCCATTTCCAATTGCTGTAATGTTAAATAGAATTTCTCAAGAGGACTGGGCATGTACAGTACACCCATATTAGTAAAAATATTGATGATTAGAACTATTTTAATGGACTTTTAGTTTTTGCTGTTATCATTAAAATATGAATTTTGTTTATTACTAGTTAACAGATAATAGTAGCATTTTTATTAATGATAAGTGCACATTTAAAAATTTTAGAATCAGTAGTAGTAATAATTTTTTACAATTGCAGTTTAAGTTTTAACATTAATATTTCATTATTAAAATATATTTAATATTAATATTACTACTATAAATATAGGATTAAATTAATAACACTGTTAATATTAGTTATACTTAAAGATAAATAGATAAATAATGATAAATTTTATTAAGGTTATATTATACAAAAATGATTATTGCATTTTATTAGGGATATTGCAGCACGTAATGTTCTTGTCTCTGCTCACGACTGTGTTAAATTGGGTGATTTTGGATTATCAAGATGGGTAGAAGATCAATCTTATTATAAAGCTTCAAAAGGAAAATTACCAATTAAGTGGATGGCACCCGAATCTATTAATTTTCGCCGTTTCACTACAGCAAGTGATGTATGGATGTTTGGTAATAAATACTTGATTTTATATTGTATTCCTTGAAATATATTAGATTCCATTAAATTGTTTAATGGAATCTTTTTTATTATCAGTTTTATTAATTGGAATAGGTTTATCTAGAATTTCATACAAAATAGAAATGAAACAAGCTGAAATATTTATATATCCAGATACATCTCAAAGTTCTTAGGAACTGTTTGCTGTCTCNACGGATTATTCCCAAAAAAAATATACGTATTTTGGAAATGTTGAGTCGAATTAGTCTAGGAATCGATTAATTTTATGGAAGGAAACCTTTCAAACAGCCATAGTCCGTAAAGTGCATACATGCCAGGCCTTGATTGGCAAGGACTCATACAAAATGGATTCATAAAGAACGGACCGTACAGTCGACCCCCTATAACACTGTTGATAATTCCGTTTTATATGAATTCCATGTTGTACGAGTCACTTAGATTTTACAAATACGTGAGCCGTTCACAGCCCAGGACACGTATTTGTAAAATCTAAGTGACTCGTACAACATGGAATTCGTATAAAACAGAAAAATCAACAGTTTTATAGGGGGTCGATTGTATCTACCGTGTTATAGAGGGGTTGACTGTAATTACAAAACTTATAAAATTAAGGATAATATCTAATAATTGCATAACAAGATTTTGTTTACAAAAATTGACTTAATTAAATGGAAACATGTATAGATAAGAAAATATAAACTATTTTTAAGCAATTACTAGCAATAAATATTTTTAAAGAATGTACAATATCTATATTAGTCTCAATTATCTCAGGAATGATTATACCTTTAAGAGATTAAAAAGTCAGGTTAGATTACATAGAATGTTTGGTAAATTATTAAATAAACTGGATTTTGGTGCATTAATGCATTCAAAACCAGTTTATTTAATGATTTAATCTATGATATACTCTATTTTTGGTTATATCTATTTATTGAACATAATACTTCTAAATTATACAATAAAGCACTTTTAATTTTACTTAACAACTGCATTTATTAAAGTGAATGTAAATGTATGATTACAATTTAAAAAATATTAAATTTATATTATGAGAAGTCACCAGAATAAATTCCTTTCAAAATGTCTAGAGCTATTTCTGGTATTATTAATTGCCCAGTCTAGATTCATGAAACAAATTGTACTGCACTAGGTTTTTTCCTTTTCTTTATTGACAAAATAATCTTCCATAGTTTAGTTTAGATGATGCAGAATCTTGGTCAAATGTGTTCTCTAAAGGTTTTCTTAAAATAGTGTAGAGTAAATCAATCTATTTTATATTGAGATACTCTTTTTCAGTCAAGGATGATGAAATGAAAATTAATAATTATAACAATAATTTGTTATATTTTATATTAAAATGACAAGTTATTAATGAGAGAGAGACTATTTTAGGATGTCTCGTAATTGCTATAATTATAAACTCAGCATTGAAACAACTGTTAAATACATTTAAAATTCTGTAATGAGCATTTGTAACTTTTTGAATGTGTTAACAAAATAATGATGCCTGATTTTTTTTGATTATGTATAATTGATGAGCAAACTGAAAAACAGATGTTTTTTAAAGGAATGTAATAATTTTAATTTATTATAAAATAATACAGTATAGTTCTTAATCATTTAAGTTTTTAGTAATTTCAAAAATATGAAAACAAAAATGATAATTTGAATTAAAAATTTTAGCTACATTATACCCTGTTATAATATCTCAATTTTGAATTATAAAATTTAGTAGGTAAAAAAGGCTTCAATGCATTCATTTTAGATTGAAGATGACGATTATTAATTTTAAAAATTTTAATGCCATTTTCATAATTTATAATGGAAAGCTATGAAGATCATAAGTTAGGTTCATAAATTACCTAAATTACTTTAACAATTTATGTTAAAGTATCCAAGTACCATTTTTGGTTCTAAGCTTAGTTTCAGTCATCACATTCAATTCTTAATCAAAAATTTGATAATTAGGAGAGGGATGTTTCCAGTAGTTCTAAATTACTTCCAGTAGTTCTAAATTATTTAATTAAAAATCATAATTAAAAATCATATTTATTAAATTTATTAAGAGATTGTGCCTAACGCCTCCCTCTAGTACCAAATTGTTTCATAATTCATTAGTATTATAGCAGCTATCTAGCCTGATGACATACGGCATTGGTTGGCTTTTAGTTTTATAATGTATTGGGTTTTAGTGATGTTGTTTGAGGGATGCTTTGACACAACTGTAAATCAATATCTTATTTTAAAGTCTGTTTCCTGTTTTATGCTATTGGGTTGTTCGGAAAGTAATTTCATTTTTTTCTGTGGAAAAAAACACAATATTTTTATAATAAATAAATATTTTATTGAATTATATATAGACCATTTTGGTCAAATACCTGTTGTCGTCGTTTCTGGTAGTAGCATGATTTCACATTCATAAAAGTTTTGATCGTTGCTTACAAAAAGCTGATCCAAGTGATTTTTGACATTCATTTCAAGTAAATGTCTTACAGTTAAAAAAATTGTATAGACCTGAACAAGTAATAATCTGAGTGTGCTCGATCTGGCGAGTATGGTTGGTGTGATAGCACATCCCATCTAAGTTATAACAGTTTCTGACGAGTTACCAAACTTGTGTGAAATTTGACATTATTATGGTAAAACACTACACCTGTTTTGTTGATCAATTCTGGCTGCCTTTTCTGTTTGATGATATTACTCAATTTGTTTACTCGATGGCAGTACACTTTCGAATCAATTGTTAAATTGTCTGGTAAAAGCTCCAAAAAAAAATTTCCTTAAAATCCCACCAAAGAGAGCATCTCTCTTTAAGAACATGTGGAACCCATATATCAAGCTTTGAAACGAAACCAATTTGTTTCAAGTAATCATAAACAGTTCAATTTGACAAATTTAATCTCTTAGTGATTTCACGTGTTGTTATTCGGCAGTTTGCTTCAATCAGTACCTTTATTTTGTTTTCATTGGCTTCAACTGGCCATCCAGAACGTGGTGCATCTTCAATATTGAAATTGCCAGAACGAAATTTTGTAAACCAGTTTTGGCACTGTCGTTCTGTCAATACATCTTCTCCATACACGTCACACAATTTTTTTCTCGCTTGAACAGCATTCTTACCTTTTTGGTAATAAAAGAGCAAAATATGCCGAAAATGCTGCTTTCGATCTTCCATATTTGATGGGACACAAAAAATAAACAATTGCACAAAATCAAACAAAATTTTTTACAAATAAGCCTTAAAATGCTTGCTGTCAAAATATGTAATGATAATACGGTTTAGAATGAAAATGGCGGGAAAAATACAACTAATCCATCTAGTGGTTAAAAAAACGAAATTACTTTTCGAACAACCCAATAATATTTAGTCTCTTGACTGTGGTCTCTCTTTATGGTTATGTGACCGCAGGGTCGGCACCTCTTTGGTGCCTCGTCAGGATGACACCATTGTGTCTTTATGGACAGACACAGAAACCAGATTGGCCNACGACCCCCAATTCTCTTTGAGCCTTCTACTGCCCCCCTGAAAGCCTCCAGTGCCCACAAGGGGGCGTTATCGCCCACTTTGAGAAACGCTGCTTTAAATAAATTCTTTAACTCTGATGTTCATATTGATGATATTCTTTTACTAAATGTCAATCATAAAATAAAAGTATGCTACTTGTTTCATTAACAGAAGCTTTATAACATGTGTTTAGAAGTAGTCAGATAAGAGAATGTGCTTGTCAATCCTTCCTCTCATAAATCCACAATATATTTTTTTTTCTTTAAGGAATAATTCAGCACCTTTTCCATTTTTAAAATGAATTTATAGGATATGGACATGTGCATTTCTTGCTTTAATATCACATTTTTGCTTGCATACTTAAATGTTTTATTCACATGTTTCTAAACTTTTGCAACTCATTACCAATGTTTCTATTTGAAACATGAACTTAACCTAGATTATAACAATAGCTCTAAGTGAAATTATTTCAAGAGAAATGCTTATGAAAAATTTTAATAAAGCATGCATATAATTTCAATAAAGCTAACATTTTCATTAAAAGCTTATATTCTTAATGTTATGATGCAGTAATACAGGCAGTTGATCATTGATTGAAATGTTTCTAAACTTTTGGAAAGGAGTTGTATAATATGTAACCAGTGAGAATATAGTTGTAAACCACAATAAAATCTCTCTTGAAAACTAACAATAGACATTACAGTATTTTAATTTGTTTTTTATAAATGGACAGTCTTCATTTTTTCCAAAAAAAATGCAGAATTTTTGGAAAACAGAATTAATGCATAAATAGAAATTTTCTTTTGGTTTTTGTTTTTGTTAGCTTTTCTCCAAATTGAAACTAAGCACAAAGCATATTGTAATTTGATGTTTCTATAATCTTTAACTTAATTAAAAAACAAATTTTAAAATGTCTAAAATGCATTGTTGAAAAATTGTAAAATCTGTTTATAATTCATATGATTGCAAGTGGTTGAGAAATCAACCACTTGCAATCATATAATTTTTTGAGATATTGAGAGATTTGTTCATTATCTAACTCATGACTTTATAACATTATTTTCCAGAAAAACATTTCAAATTATCTACTTGTTTATAATGTCTTTTATTGTCTAGCTTTCTGAATTGTGTATCATAGTAGGAAGGCATATCAATCTTTACTACTAATATTACTATAACTGTTACAATAACAAACTTTCCAGTTTTTCTGGATGTTACTTAATTTTAAAATGTTGTTTGATTAATAATCTAGGTAATAATTGGATTCATATGAAAGAGATGACATAGTTTTTTACAAATATCAGAACTGTATCCAAAGTTACTATATAAAAATTAGAATTATCCATTAATTATGTTAAATTTTCCATATGATTAGATTTAATTGAGATATGAGTAATTCTGCAAATAATCCTAAACAATTACTGGATTATTTGTTGGGTTATCCAGCTAGCTCAATAAATAATCCCGCAGATCTTTTGGCAATATTAATTGAATCAGTTGTATATATTATTAAGACTAATAATCACTCATTATGAGATGAAAAGTGTTACTAAATTTCATTTTTATTTATATCATTTTGTTTAATGTTGTTTTTATTTTAATTACTTTTACCTGAAAACTCCTAAACTCCGTTAATTAAATTTGTAAACAAATTATCAACAAAATTATCATATAAATATTATTTAATATATATTTTTTAAAGGTGTCTGTATGTGGGAAATTTTGATGATGGGTGTAAAACCATTCCAAGGTGTGAAAAATAATGATGTAATTGGAAGAATTGAAAATGGTGAACGGCTACCTTTACCCTCTCATTGTCCACCTCGATTATATAGTTTAATGTCACAGTGTTGGTCATATGAGCCATCTAAACGTCCTAGTTTTAAGGAAATCAAACATGTATTGAGGTATTTAATAATTTATTACTCTTAAGAAATAGAAAATTAATATAATCATTAAGAATTAAAGTAAAAAAAAAATCATTTTAGTTCTTAAATTTCCTTATTTCTTAAAACTCAAACTTAAAAGTAGTAATTAAGTAATTTAATAGTTAATATATATGTGAGGTGATCAAAAAATATGGTTAATGTTGGAAAAATAAAATAATGACTACATGAAACTTGCAGTTAATTCCCTCAAATTAATCTTCTCTGCTTATAGGTGTCCACAGAGGGGGCAAATGGAGCATTCCCTCAGATTAATTAAAAATTCCACACATTATAATTATAAAACTGAATGATATATGTAACCTTATACCCTCACCCATGGGACATTGTCTGTCTTTTTGTGTTGATGTAGTACTCTATTCTTTTATCCGTTTGTGAAAAAAAAATCCAAAAAAATTAAACAATTAAATAAAAATTTGTTGATGAAATTCTTTGTCTCCATGCTTTGCCTTCCCCTGTAGAATTTTCTGCAGACACCCATGCCTCTGCTTGCAATACTTACTCCAGTGTGCTTGTTACTTCTCAAGACACAACTGAAAGTCTTTCTTTGTTAGTACTTTAATTTGGCTGTTGTGGCTGCTATAATTTCAGATTGTCTGAAAATACTTTCCCTTTATTGTCTGCTGAACTTTGGGAAAGAATCAGAAGGCGCTTGATGCCAAGTCTAGTGAATACAGTGTTTTTATTAGACAAAAATTGCCACATGACAAGTATGTGTGGTAGTGAATGTTATAACGGTGGCAAATGAAACCTTTTGCTCATTTCTCTGGTCTTTTTCTGTGCACAATGTTTCACAAATGTTCTACTGCTCCTTTATAGTGTTTCTTTAGGTACAAATTCTGCTTGAGCAATTTCTTCTGGATTGAAAAAATGATCGTCACTACTTTGATGTTGGACCTTGATTGGCAATCCTTTTTTTGCCTGGGGAGATGATGATTTCCAATGAGAACTCTGAATCTTGGTCTCAGGATTGTAACTATACAGCCATGACTCATCTTCTGTGATGACACTTCTCAAAAGTTCTCATCTGAAACAAAACAATCATTCAACTCCAATGAAATTAAGAAATGCTTTTCGTTCTGTTTGGGAGTTCAAATGTGTGGGATAAAGTTCATACTCACCTCATGTTCAAATATAGTTAAAATGCTTTGAACTGAACTGTATGAGATGTTCAGATCATCGGAAATTTACTGAATAGTCAATGATCTGTTTGATCACATCATTCGACTGACTTTTTTTGACATTTTATGGTCTTTGATGTTGAGGAGGATCAACTTTTTTTCATTGTCTTCAACCAACTCATATTTTTTGTGAAATCATTCAAACCATTAATATTTTGTCTTGAAGATCACTGTAGCATCTCCCCAAAGTAACACTAACATTTCTTGAGTTTCTTTGGTACTTTTCTTTAGTTTAAAGTAAATTTGTTGTTGCTGTGTTGTTTGTACTTTATGTTTACATACCTCCAAAACTTGCCTTCACAAATCATTACTGAACATTAGGTGATTGAGCTGAGCAGACCCAAACTTGCAAGATATGGAAAGAGGATAGTAACAATTCACATTCAGCACAGAAGTCTTACCATTTTTCAATAGGTGGCAAACTGTCCTGAAATTTAGTGTATTTTTTATCATTACTTCATATTTAAACTGTAAAAAATACAAATTTAGTTAGCCATACATTACAAAATAGTTATCCACTAAAAACAAAAATTGTGTTATCTCTAAAAAGACAATGATATATTGTTAACAATATATTTGATAATGATTTTAAATAACTACATTATGTGTCACTTGATGTTTACATGTTAAAACTGGTATTTTTACATATACTTATTTAAATCAGAAAGTTTTGATTTATTTAAAAACTGTTTATTAATTTGAACTTATTAAAGACATTCAATGAGAAAATGCTAGATATTCTTGTTTGAATTTCCTTTTTTATAATATTTTGGACTGATGATGGGACAGAGTGGTTTCAAAAATGTTTTTCTAATACAAGTTTTGATTCCTAAAGCTTTGATAGCATTGGTGATTTTTTTCTCTCCCTCTCTTCTTTCTAACTCATATTACTTTTCCAGTTGTTATATATAATAGAGGGAAAATATGGTGATTGGTCAAAAAATGATCCCCCAAGATTTTTACAGTTTTGGACTCAGGACCTTGAAATGTTGTGAAATTTTAAAAATTTTGGGGATTTTTCTGTGTGTGTGTGTGTGTGGATGTTAGTGAGTACTGGGAGTATAATTTTGTTTTTGTTCATCCACTTTGAAGCTTAATAATTCCTCTCTTTTGTTGAAAATTTCTGAAATTTTATAAGGAGATTTGTATGATATATTAAGGAGATTGATGCTATTAAATTTTGGTGGTCAAAGATCAAGAGGGTGGGGGATAGAGGGTTGGTTATCTTGTGTTGTATCTTAACTAGGGTTGGACTTAATGAAGATTTTACTCATTATTAGCATTTAAAATTTTTATAAAAATCATCTCTACCCTCAAAATTAAGTTTTTTGCCATTTTATAATGATATATATTATCATAAGGGTAGAGAAGTTTTAAATAAAATAGCATAACAGTTGGCACCACCACAATTTTAAATTTTTTTGCCAGGAAAGTTATGCAACTCATTGCTAAATTTTATAGTTTTAGTGGGTAAACAAATTTTAGAATTGCCTTGAATTACATTTTTCAGAATTTTATTTAACATTCAGCCATAGTAGTCAAAAAGTAAGAATGAAAATGCTGCTTTGTATCTATTATGAATTGTTATTTCATACTGGATATAATTTGTACATCTATCAGTTTATTCAAATAATTGAACTTAACATATGTTAATTTTGTAATTGTCTCATAATAGAAAAAAGAATATACAGTAAAACTTTCTTTGACTTAAAGTTTCAAGGGACTGGAAAAACTTTCAAGTTACAGATGATTCAAGCTCTAACTTGAATCATCTGTAGAGAACTGTCTGAAAATTGAAAACCCAATAATTAGGATCACTTTGGATAGAATAAAGGAAATTGAACTTCAACTTGGAGTAGATTGGAGTTAAGGAAATTCAAGTTGAAGACATTAAATCCCTATGCTATTTCATTGAGACCTATCAAGTGCTTCATTTTCTTTGAGTTAAGGAAATATTTAAGTTACAGATGTTCCAGTTAGAAAAGTTTTACTGTAGTTGCAATTTGTTCAATAAATAATATAATCTAATATGATCATCAATATAGCAAACTTATGTTATTGTCACACAAGTATTTTACACATACATACACACATAAAATTATGCTGAATTGTCTGATATACTGTTTGCAATATATCTATATATAATATTTTATGTAATTTAAAAAATAATATAGTTAACAGCTATTATATTTAAATATAAAAATATATTTTTATAGAGAAATATTAGAAGAAGAAAGAAGACAAATGGAAGATGTAATGAGAAGAGATAATCGACGTGTTCAAGCAATGTCTTGGGGTGGGTCTTTTTTATTTTCTTCTCTTTTATTCTAGATCAGAAAAATTGAAATGTGAACTATATACAGTGTGTCCATAAATTGTGATGTTTCAAATTGCTACATTCTTGTAAACAAATATAATACAGATATCAAATATGCACTAAATTAAAGAGAAACTCTCAAAATTCTTAACATGTTTAATGGAGTTCAATGTGAGTTGAGCTCCAGTGATTTTCCTGCAGACTTTTAGTTGGTGCTTCATTTTTTCCCCATACATGAACAAGAAAATCAAGTATGATGAAAGAAGAAAATAATTTTGTGATCATTGATTCAAGTGTATAATATTATTAAAGCACATTCTGTACATTGTTTGCCAATATCAGTCCAAAGTTGTGAAATAAAGAGAGCATGGTGGCCATGCTTTTCAATCTATTCATTCAATCTATCATTGTGGAAATGTCATAAATGATCTTCCAAATAATGTCGGAAAAGTGCAAAGGATCACTATCCTTGCTGAAAGATTCACAGGAGTTAGATTCAAATTTGGCAAAGAATGCATTGTGTTTAACAGACAGTCATCATCTTAACTGATACATTTGATTTGTCATAGCCTGGCAAGCTTGCCCCATTTACAACAAACATCATTTAAAAAACTTTTGAGAGTTGTTCTTCAATTTGGAATTTGTCTCAAGTCTTTCAATGTTATAACAATTTGAAACTCACCATAACTACACACATGCTGTATTTATTATTTAAAATAACTTTACTTAAGTATTCGTTATTATTTTTAGGATCTTCAGGATCTGATGAACCGCCCCCAAAAGTAAGAATTCTTTATTTCAACATATAAATTATGATTTTTAAAGATTTACATTATTTTATTTGATGTAATTATGTTTTACATTTGAGCTATTAGAATTTATATTAAATTGACTAAGATTTAAAAATATCAATTAGAAATAGTCATAATTATAAAAAGTATTGTTAATTATAGATTTATCAAGAATTATTAGTAAAAACATTTAAAATGATTTTTATGGAATTATGTGATAGGGTAAGTGGTACAGTTATTGGCATTGTGTATACAGATACAGGAAATTTTTTATTTTAAAAATTCTATGACATAACAGGGTAATACATCAATGCAATATTTCCAGAATAGCTTTTATAGAACTCCTATCAAACATGTCTAAATTTGATGGCCAATTACTGTCTGATGGCTAATAACTATACTGTTTACTCTAATGTATATTTAATTGAGGAAAAATTGAAATACCTTGATTTTTGGTATAGTAATGCTAAAATACAATGTAAATTTGAAAATAAAATATATAGTATTAAAATAGAAAATTTTAATTGACTTGTAAATTTCTGTTTAAATATTGATTTCCAATTCATTAAAAAATAATAAAAACCTACTCTTTAATAATTTAAAATAAAACTAATGACAGTTCTGTCCTATAAAATATCTGATATTCTATAATTCATTTTATTGATCAGAGTATAGAAATATAAATTTCTCTTGGAAGCTTAGATTTACTCTAATTTTGTACAAAAACAATTTTAATTCAAAATAAATTTTCCTATGTTAATGCTACCATACTTCAAATCATATCAACATATTCAAATTCGTTTATTAAATGTATTAATTACAATTCCATAATATACATTTTTTTGTTTTAGCCTTCAAGACATTATTTTGATCGAGGAGGAACCGTTACACCACCACCAACTTCAACATCAAATTCTGTAGCACCGTCAACATACATTGTAGCACAGAACCCCGAAATACTTGCTCAATTGATACAAGAAAATGCAGATAACATGCCTCCCGCATGGGCTTATGTTGCACCCGCATCACCAGCCAACACTTTTACGGTACAGAGCTGCAACGACACACCCAACTCAGGCAGGAAGGGGCTACTGGCAACCAACCAGGTCTGGACCAAAACTGCCAGCCCTTTTAAGCTATGCATGCTTAATTTTGATACAATGCAACAGTTTTATTTTATTAAATAATATACTTTAGGAAGAATACATAGATTTTGAGAATATNGGTTATGTGACCGCAGGGTCGGCACCTCTTTGGTGCCTCGTCAGGATGACACCATTGTGTCTTTATGGACAGACACAGAAACCAGATTGGCCACTTATCTCATTATTTTGAGCGTTTGCAGACTTTCAGACCCAGAATGGAGATGGAAGGAGAGAACCAGAGGAAGAACACTTCACAAGTTATCATATAATAAAAATACTCATTTATTGATTGATATTGACTATTTACAAGCTGTATCTAGATGCTTAGCCAATGCTAATGATAATATAACATAAGACATAACTATTACGACCCTGACAATGAGAGAGAGAGAGTTCACATTAAGTTTGTGCGAGGATAAATACCTGTAGAATTCATAAAATGATATTCAGAGTTTTCACACGTAGGGAATCTTGAAGTGGCAACGAGTCCTTTGAAATGGCGGTGACTAGGAACAGTGATAGTGGCGGCAAATGGCAAATGGTGGCCTATGCACACACAGTTCAATGATAACTTGATGACTCTTTGTCCGACTCATCGACCTCTCTTTTTTATTAGGGGGTCTGTCCTGGGTTATTTCCATGACCTTATTAGGAGTTTTTCTACAATCATCCAATAGTTAAATTTTTGTCGTAGATTCCATTAAATTGTTTAATGGAATCTTTTTTATTATCAGTTTTATTAATTGGAATAGGTTTATCTAGAATTTCATACAAAATAGAAATGAAACAAGCTGAAATATTTATATATCCAGATACATCTCAAAGTTCTTAGGAACTGTTTGCTGTCTCTCTAACAACTTTGTAATATAAGATTCTTGGATAAATTGCATAATATTGTCATTAAATTGATATTACGGTTTCTAAACAGATGTAAAATGAAAAGAACAACAGTTATTGAGATGTTTGTATTTTGTATCAATTTATAGAAAAAATGTTATCTATTGAAAGAGACAAAAATTAAAGGAAATTTAACTGTTAAATGTAAACAATGATGTTTTATTTTAAGTGAAAGCTTTCTTAAAAATGCATAATAGTCATATGCTTAAGCATTGGAATAATATTTTTAAAGTTTATAAGCATTTATTTACAATGAAATTAAAATCCTTAAACCATCACTGATATTAAGATAAAACTTTCATAATAAAAACAATGATGAATGAAATATTGTCTATAATCATATATTTATGACAAACTTATTTTTTCTGCCAGATTCATCAAATTTTTGTTTCAAATTTTGATTTTTTTTATTTATGATTTTGACATAGTGGAATTTGCAATATCAATTATAAAAGTAGTTCTAAGAAGTTTTTGTTAACTCAAATAATGTCATGTTTATTGCTGTTCAGTTTTATTAATTGGAATAGGTTTATCTCATTTAAGTCTGTATTGATCATTTTCTAATACATGTAAAAGATAGAATTTATAAATGTGAGATCTAGAATTAGGAGGAAGTCAATTTATTAAGAAAATAAGAGAGAACAATTTAAAATTAATAGAAAGTAAATTTTTGTAACTTTTTAACTTCAATGAATTTTCAAAAGAGTGAATGTCAAGAGTACTTTCATTTTAAAAAGGAAGTTTATTTCCTTTCCTATGGCCGATTCATGAGATGAGTCAAAAATACAGCCTCTGCACATGTTACTTGGTCATCTGAGGAAGCCAATATAAAAAGAGATTTTTCCTGCCATTCAAGGAGTTTGTCATACTATTCAGAGTTCTCCATACAATGTAGAGAGTCCGTTTTACGATGAGTCCGTCATATGAAAAGTCTGCTATTTGAGGCTGGCGTGCACATGATCATCTGCCATTCGAGGCCGGCCATCATACAATATAGTGCAGTTCACCATACATATTGAATGAAGTGATCCATACAAAGAATATCATAGAAGAGAAAATGAAGATTTTCCATAGTTAAGAAGACTCTCCTTCCATACGTGAAAATTATTAGAAAGAATTGTGAAGGTAGTATAAACAATTCAGATCGATGTGAACACTCTCTCATGCATTAGATTTAAGATAGGATTGTTAGGTTTATTTTAGTTAATCGTGATTTAGGTATACATATAATTTGTGATTCATTTCATTTGTATATTCTTTGATACTTTTGTTTTATTAAATATTTTAGTTTTATTATATAAATATGGCCTGTTTAATGATAGATATCCACAGTTATGCCTACGTTAAATACTTGCCTTCCTCATACTCACAATTCCTTGGTTACACGTATTAATCCGCATTAAAATAAGATTAACTGATGTCGGGAACCTGATGAGGAGAAGGGTGATCACGCGATTATCTCTCTCCGCCTTATTTTACTTCATAACTAAGTCCCACCACACTCAATTTCTTTGGTAGAAAAACCATCCTTTTTAGACAATCCAAGGGCCATTCTCACGATCAGCTGGTGAAAGCGGTACACAAGTTTTATGAACTCCATATCCCAGGCTAGCCCCTCACATAAATGAGCCATTTAAGTAGGAAAATTTAGTTGTTTATAAAGATCTTTGTTAGTAAGTTTAATTATACAGCATCAGACAAGCTAGAATGTAGTAGGTAAGATATCTGCATATGTTTTATTATTTGGGAAGATAGTTCTGTTTATTAGATTTCTCATATAAATATGAAATAGTTTTATTCTGATGCTATTTATAAACAGAATTGATGGACCAATTTTTTTTCTTTGACAGACTAAGAGTAAATGTGATTTTATTTTTATTTTATTTCAGGAAAATTCAATTAAAGCTAAATGAGATAAAATTATATTTTATGTAATGGTATACAGATAGACATAAAATAACAATCTATTTGTAGATTATTACTTTCTCAACTCTGCTATATATAACACAGGGAAAGTATGCCAATCAGTCAAAAAAGTTGCACCCCCTAGATTTTTACATTTTTGAACTAGGGATCTCGAAACATCAAGAAATGCAAAAAAATTCAGGGGTTTTTTTTCTCTATGTATGGTATGAAGCACAATTTTTTCATCCTCTTTAAAGCTTAATAAAACCTGTGCCTTTTGTTGAAAATTTCTGAAATTTTTTAGTGAGGTTTGTGTATTAGAGAGATTGATGCTATTAAATTTTGGTGGTCAAAGGTCATATCTTGAGTAGGGTTGGACTTAATGTCAATTTTACTTATTAACATTTACTATATTTTATAAAACCCATCCTTAACCTCAAAATTAACTTATTTTGCCATTTTATAATTATTAAAAAAACTTTTTATATTTTAAATTAAGTATCATAACAGATGGCACCACTAAATGTTACTAGGAAAATTAAGCAGCTTGTTGGATTTTTTTAATTTTTTGAAAGTTTTCTCTGAGAAGAATAATGTTCCATTTCCAATTGCTGTAATGTTAAATAGAATTTCTCAAGAGGACTGGGCATGTACAGTACACCCATATTAGTAAAAATATTGATGATTAGAACTATTTTAATGGACTTTTAGTTTTTGCTGTTATCATTAAAATATGAATTTTGTTTATTACTAGTTAACAGATAATAGTAGCATTTTTATTAATGATAAGTGCACATTTAAAAATTTTAGAATCAGTAGTAGTAATAATTTTTTACAATTGCAGTTTAAGTTTTAACATTAATATTTCATTATTAAAATATATTTAATATTAATATTACTACTATAAATATAGGATTAAATTAATAACACTGTTAATATTAGTTATACTTAAAGATAAATAGATAAATAATGATAAATTTTATTAAGGTTATATTATACAAAAATGATTATTGCATTTTATTAGGGATATTGCAGCACGTAATGTTCTTGTCTCTGCTCACGACTGTGTTAAATTGGGTGATTTTGGATTATCAAGATGGGTAGAAGATCAATCTTATTATAAAGCTTCAAAAGGAAAATTACCAATTAAGTGGATGGCACCCGAATCTATTAATTTTCGCCGTTTCACTACAGCAAGTGATGTATGGATGTTTGGTAATAAATACTTGATTTTATATTGTATTCCTTGAAATATATTTTTTAAAATTTTTAAATAACATAAATTATATCTTTGAATATATATATATATATGTATATGTGTGTGTGAATTATATATATACTGAATTATTATGATAAATATAAATTATCCAATTCAAGAGAATCATTGTGCATCTAGCACAAAATGATTCTCTAACTAGATTAATTAGATACAACTAAATAGAAAAAAAATTAATACATAGAATAACATCAAGTTAATCTGAATGTATTTGTTCATTTGAAGTACTCAAACAGTTAAATTAGACATATTTAATTAAAAAATCAAAAGAGTACCAAGGTTACTTGCATTCTATTATAGATCTAAATAACTTTAAATCAGTGATTCTCAAACTTTTTCGATCCACCGCCCCCTTTGTTCCATAAAGTTATACCCAACGCCCCCTAACCCATTTTCTCTTGTGTGAGAAAAGGATTGGAAATATTCTTAGGAAAACTTTTCTATGAATCTCACACTTTGTGCCCTTACTGTACATTGTTCTCATCATCTGGAAACCATTAAACGCAATGTTTCCTCTTATCAGCCCCAATTTTGCCTTTGGTCACCGTTCAATACCCTGCCTCTATCATAGATCTATTCATCGCGCCAGAAGGGGGCGTTATTGCTTACTTTGAGAAACGCTGAGCTAAAATAAAAGTCAATGTGTTAGAAATATTCAAGTTGTGACCTTCAATAAAAAATAAAAAATATATAAAATGTCAACATTTTATATATATTCCGTTGAATTTTTATATATAGAATTTGTCTGCCGTCGTCCCTCTATATTTCCTTAACGACCCCCAATTCTCTTTGAGCCTTCTACTGCCCCCCTGAAAGCCTCCAGTGCCCACAAGGGGGCGTTATCGCCCACTTTGAGAAACGCTGCTTTAAATAAATTCTTTAACTCTGATGTTCATATTGATGATATTCTTTTACTAAATGTCAATCATAAAATAAAAGTATGCTACTTGTTTCATTAACAGAAGCTTTATAACATGTGTTTAGAAGTAGTCAGATAAGAGAATGTGCTTGTCAATCCTTCCTCTCATAAATCCACAATATATTTTTTTTTCTTTAAGGAATAATTCAGCACCTTTTCCATTTTTAAAATGAATTTATAGGATATGGACATGTGCATTTCTTGCTTTAATATCACATTTTTGCTTGCATACTTAAATGTTTTATTCACATGTTTCTAAACTTTTGCAACTCATTACCAATGTTTCTATTTGAAACATGAACTCAACCTAGATTATAACAATAGCTCTAAGTGAAATTATTTCAAGAGAAATGCTTATGAAAAATTTTAATAAAGCATGCATATAATTTCAATAAAGCTAACATTTTCATTAAAAGCTTATATTCTTAATGTTATGATGCAGTAATACAGGCAGTTGATCATTGATTGAAATGTTTCTAAACTTTTGGAAAGGAGTTGTATAATATGTAACCAGTGAGAATATAGTTGTAAACCACAATAAAATCTCTCTTGAAAACTAACAATAGACATTACAGTATTTTAATTTGTTTTTTATAAATGGACAGTCTTCATTTTTTCCAAAAAAAATGCAGAATTTTTGGAAAACAGAATTAATGCATAAATAGAAATTTTCTTTTGGTTTTTGTTTTTGTTAGCTTTTCTCCAAATTGAAACTAAGCACAAAGCATATTGTAATTTGATGTTTCTATAATCTTTAACTTAATTAAAAAACAAATTTTAAAATGTCTAAAATGCATTGTTGAAAAATTGTAAAATCTGTTTATAATTCATATGATTGCAAGTGGTTGAGAAATCAACCACTTGCAATCATATAATTTTTTGAGATATTGAGAGATTTGTTCATTATCTAACTCATGACTTTATAACATTATTTTCCAGAAAAACATTTCAAATTATCTACTTGTTTATAATGTCTTTTATTGTCTAGCTTTCTGAATTGTGTATCATAGTAGGAAGGCATATCAATCTTTACTACTAATATTACTATAACTGTTACAATAACAAACTTTCCAGTTTTTCTGGATGTTACTTAATTTTAAAATGTTGTTTGATTAATAATCTAGGTAATAATTGGATTCATATGAAAGAGATGACATAGTTTTTTACAAATATCAGAACTGTATCCAAAGTTACTATATAAAAATTAGAATTATCCATTAATTATGTTAAATTTTCCATATGATTAGATTTAATTGAGATATGAGTAATTCTGCAAATAATCCTAAACAATTACTGGATTATTTGTTGGGTTATCCAGCTAGCTCAATAAATAATCCCGCAGATCTTTTGGCAATATTAATTGAATCAGTTGTATATATTATTAAGACTAATAATCACTCATTATGAGATGAAAAGTGTTACTAAATTTCATTTTTATTTATATCATTTTGTTTAATGTTGTTTTTATTTTAATTACTTTTACCTGAAAACTCCTAAACTCCGTTAATTAAATTTGTAAACAAATTATCAACAAAATTATCATATAAATATTATTTAATATATATTTTTTAAAGGTGTCTGTATGTGGGAAATTTTGATGATGGGTGTAAAACCATTCCAAGGTGTGAAAAATAATGATGTAATTGGAAGAATTGAAAATGGTGAACGGCTACCTTTACCCTCTCATTGTCCACCTCGATTATATAGTTTAATGTCACAGTGTTGGTCATATGAGCCATCTAAACGTCCTAGTTTTAAGGAAATCAAACATGTATTGAGGTATTTAATAATTTATTACTCTTAAGAAATAGAAAATTAATATAATCATTAAGAATTAAAGTAAAAAAAAAATCATTTTAGTTCTTAAATTTCCTTATTTCTTAAAACTCAAACTTAAAAGTAGTAATTAAGTAATTTAATAGTTAATATATATGTGAGGTGATCAAAAAATATGGTTAATGTTGGAAAAATAAAATAATGACTACATGAAACTTGCAGTTAATTCCCTCAAATTAATCTTCTCTGCTTATAGGTGTCCACAGAGGGGGCAAATGGAGCATTCCCTCAGATTAATTAAAAATTCCACACATTATAATTATAAAACTGAATGATATATGTAACCTTATACCCTCACCCATGGGACATTGTCTGTCTTTTTGTGTTGATGTAGTACTCTATTCTTTTATCCGTTTGTGAAAAAAAAATCCAAAAAAATTAAACAATTAAATAAAAATTTGTTGATGAAATTCTTTGTCTCCATGCTTTGCCTTCCCCTGTAGAATTTTCTGCAGACACCCATGCCTCTGCTTGCAATACTTACTCCAGTGTGCTTGTTACTTCTCAAGACACTACTGAAAGTCTTTCTTTGTTAGTACTTTAATTTGGCTGTTGTGGCTGCTATAATTTCAGATTGTCTGAAAATACTTTCCCTTTATTGTCTGCTGAACTTTGGGAAAGAATCAGAAGGCGCTTGATGCCAAGTCTAGTGAATACAGTGTTTTTATTAGACAAAAATTGCCACATGACAAGTATGTGTGGTAGTGAATGTTATAACGGTGGCAAATGAAACCTTTTGCTCATTTCTCTGGTCTTTTTCTGTGCACAATGTTTCACAAATGTTCTACTGCTCCTTTATAGTGTTTCTTTAGGTACAAATTCTGCTTGAGCAATTTCTTCTGGATTGAAAAAATGATCGTCACTACTTTGATGTTGGACCTTGATTGGCAATCCTTTTTTTGCCTGGGGAGATGATGATTTCCAATGAGAACTCTGAATCTTGGTCTCAGGATTGTAACTATACAGCCATGACTCATCTTCTGTGATGACACTTCTCAAAAGTTCTCATCTGAAACAAAACAATCATTCAACTCCAATGAAATTAAGAAATGCTTTTCCTTCTGTTTGGGAGTTCAAATGTGTGGGATAAAGTTCATACTCACCTCATGTTCAAATATAGTTAAAATGCTTTGAACTGAACTGTATGAGATGTTCAGATCATCGGAAATTTACTGAATAGTCAATGATCTGTTTGATCACATCATTCGACTGACTTTTTTTGACATTTTATGGTCTTTGATGTTGAGGAGGATCAACTTTTTTTCATTGTCTTCAACCAACTCATATTTTTTGTGAAATCATTCAAACCATTAATATTTTGTCTTGAAGATCACTGTAGCATCTCCCCAAAGTAACACTAACATTTCTTGAGTTTCTTTGGTACTTTTCTTTAGTTTAAAGTAAATTTGTTGTTGCTGTGTTGTTTGTACTTTATGTTTACATACCTCCAAAACTTGCCTTCACAAATCATTACTGAACATTAGGTGATTGAGCTGAGCAGACCCAAACTTGCAAGATATGGAAAGAGGATAGTAACAATTCACATTCAGCACAGAAGTCTTACCATTTTTCAATAGGTGGCAAACTGTCCTGAAATTTAGTGTATTTTTTATCATTACTTCATATTTAAACTGTAAAAAATACAAATTTAGTTAGCCATACATTACAAAATAGTTATCCACTAAAAACAAAAATTGTGTTATCTCTAAAAAGACAATGATATATTGTTAACAATATATTTGATAATGATTTTAAATAACTACATTATGTGTCACTTGATGTTTACATGTTAAAACTGGTATTTTTACATATACTTATTTAAATCAGAAAGTTTTGATTTATTTAAAAACTGTTTATTAATTTGAACTTATTAAAGACATTCAATGAGAAAATGCTAGATATTCTTGTTTGAATTTCCTTTTTTATAATATTTTGGACTGATGATGGGACAGAGTGGTTTCAAAAATGTTTTTCTAATACAAGTTTTGATTCCTAAAGCTTTGATAGCATTGGTGATTTTTTTCTCTCCCTCTCTTCTTTCTAACTCATATTACTTTTCCAGTTGTTATATATAATAGAGGGAAAATATGGTGATTGGTCAAAAAATGATCCCCCAAGATTTTTACAGTTTTGGACTCAGGACCTTGAAATGTTGTGAAATTTTAAAAATTTTGGGGATTTTTCTGTGTGTGTGTGTGTGTGTGTGTGTGGATGTTAGTGAGTACTGGGAGTATAATTTTGTTTTTGTTCATCCACTTTGAAGCTTAATAATTCCTCTCTTTTGTTGAAAATTTCTGAAATTTTATAAGGAGATTTGTATGATATATTAAGGAGATTGATGCTATTAAATTTTGGTGGTCAAAGATCAAGAGGGTGGGGGATAGAGGGTTGGTTATCTTGTGTTGTATCTTAACTAGGGTTGGACTTAATGAAGATTTTACTCATTATTAGCATTTAAAATTTTTATAAAAATCATCTCTACCCTCAAAATTAAGTTTTTTGCCATTTTATAATGATATATATTATCATAAGGGTAGAGAAGTTTTAAATAAAATAGCATAACAGTTGGCACCACCACAATTTTAAATTTTTTTGCCAGGAAAGTTATGCAACTCATTGCTAAATTTTATAGTTTTAGTGGGTAAACAAATTTTAGAATTGCCTTGAATTACATTTTTCAGAATTTTATTTAACATTCAGCCATAGTAGTCAAAAAGTAAGAATGAAAATGCTGCTTTGTATCTATTATGAATTGTTATTTCATACTGGATATAATTTGTACATCTATCAGTTTATTCAAATAATTGAACTTAACATATGTTAATTTTGTAATTGTCTCATAATAGAAAAAAGAATATACAGTAAAACTTTCTTTGACTTAAAGTTTCAAGGGACTGGAAAAACTTTCAAGTTACAGATGATTCAAGCTCTAACTTGAATCATCTGTAGAGAACTGTCTGAAAATTGAAAACCCAATAATTAGGATCACTTTGGATAGAATAAAGGAAATTGAACTTCAACTTGGAGTAGATTGGAGTTAAGGAAATTCAAGTTGAAGACATTAAATCCCTATGCTATTTCATTGAGACCTATCAAGTGCTTCATTTTCTTTGAGTTAAGGAAATATTTAAGTTACAGATGTTCCAGTTAGAAAAGTTTTACTGTAGTTGCAATTTGTTCAATAAATAATATAATCTAATATGATCATCAATATAGCAAACTTATGTTATTGTCACACAAGTATTTTACACATACATACACACATAAAATTATGCTGAATTGTCTGATATACTGTTTGCAATATATCTATATATAATATTTTATGTAATTTAAAAAATAATATAGTTAACAGCTATTATATTTAAATATAAAAATATATTTTTATAGAGAAATATTAGAAGAAGAAAGAAGACAAATGGAAGATGTAATGAGAAGAGATAATCGACGTGTTCAAGCAATGTCTTGGGGTGGGTCTTTTTTATTTTCTTCTCTTTTATTCTAGATCAGAAAAATTGAAATGTGAACTATATACAGTGTGTCCATAAATTGTGATGTTTCAAATTGCTACATTCTTGTAAACAAATATAATACAGATATCAAATATGCACTAAATTAAAGAGAAACTCTCAAAATTCTTAACATGTTTAATGGAGTTCAATGTGAGTTGAGCTCCAGTGATTTTCCTGCAGACTTTTAGTTGGTGCTTCATTTTTTCCCCATACATGAACAAGAAAATCAAGTATGATGAAAGAAGAAAATAATTTTGTGATCATTGATTCAAGTGTATAATATTATTAAAGCACATTCTGTACATTGTTTGCCAATATCAGTCCAAAGTTGTGAAATAAAGAGAGCATGGTGGCCATGCTTTTCAATCTATTCATTCAATCTATCATTGTGGAAATGTCATAAATGATCTTCCAAATAATGTCGGAAAAGTGCAAAGGATCACTATCCTTGCTGAAAGATTCACAGGAGTTAGATTCAAATTTGGCAAAGAATGCATTGTGTTTAACAGACAGTCATCATCTTAACTGATACATTTGATTTGTCATAGCCTGGCAAGCTTGCCCCATTTACAACAAACATCATTTAAAAAACTTTTGAGAGTTGTTCTTCAATTTGGAATTTGTCTCAAGTCTTTCAATGTTATAACAATTTGAAACTCACCATAACTACACACATGCTGTATTTATTATTTAAAATAACTTTACTTAAGTATTCGTTATTATTTTTAGGATCTTCAGGATCTGATGAACCGCCCCCAAAAGTAAGAATTCTTTATTTCAACATATAAATTATGATTTTTAAAGATTTACATTATTTTATTTGATGTAATTATGTTTTACATTTGAGCTATTAGAATTTATATTAAATTGACTAAGATTTAAAAATATCAATTAGAAATAGTCATAATTATAAAAAGTATTGTTAATTATAGATTTATCAAGAATTATTAGTAAAAACATTTAAAATGATTTTTATGGAATTATGTGATAGGGTAAGTGGTACAGTTATTGGCATTGTGTATACAGATACAGGAAATTTTTTATTTTAAAAATTCTATGACATAACAGGGTAATACATCAATGCAATATTTCCAGAATAGCTTTTATAGAACTCCTATCAAACATGTCTAAATTTGATGGCCAATTACTGTCTGATGGCTAATAACTATACTGTTTACTCTAATGTATATTTAATTGAGGAAAAATTGAAATACCTTGATTTTTGGTATAGTAATGCTAAAATACAATGTAAATTTGAAAATAAAATATATAGTATTAAAATAGAAAATTTTAATTGACTTGTAAATTTCTGTTTAAATATTGATTTCCAATTCATTAAAAAATAATAAAAACCTACTCTAATAATTTAAAATAAAACTAATGACAGTTCTGTCCTATAAAATATCTGATATTCTATAATTCATTTTATTGATCAGAGTATAGAAATATAAATTTCTCTTGGAAGCTTAGATTTACTCTAATTTTGTACAAAAACAATTTTAATTCAAAATAAATTTTCCTATGTTAATGCTACCATACTTCAAATCATATCAACATATTCAAATTCGTTTATTAAATGTATTAATTACAATTCCATAATATACATTTTTTTGTTTTAGCCTTCAAGACATTATTTTGATCGAGGAGGAACCGTTACACCACCACCAACTTCAACATCAAATTCTGTAGCACCGTCAACATACATTGTAGCACAGAACCCCGAAATACTTGCTCAATTGATACAAGAAAATGCAGATAACATGCCTCCCGCATGGGCTTATGTTGCACCCGCATCACCAGCCAACACTTTTACGGTACAGAGCTGCAACGACACACCCAACTCAGGCAGGAAGGGGCTACTGGCAACCAACCAGGTCTGGACCAAAACTGCCAGCCCTTTTAAGCTATGCATGCTTAATTTTGATACAATGCAACAGTTTTATTTTATTAAATAATATACTTTAGGAAGAATACATAGATTTTGAGAATATAAAGTCATGTTCAAAAATTTTATATAAAATTATTATAAATTTGTTTATACCTGTGTTGTGCAAATTTATAAACCTTATTCAGAATTCTATTTTTTGAAAACATTTTGAAATTTCATCATAATTTAAACAAGGGAAATTGATTCTTTTGTTATTTTTTTTTAACTAGTAGCAATAATTCATAGATATTTATTAAATTTTCAATTCCTTTTTCTGTTTTATTGATATGTTTTTCTTAAACAGAATAATTTTGAAACTAAAACCTCATTTAATGAAAACCAAAAAAATAAAATTTTTTTATTTAAAAAAAATTTGATATAAATTAAATGCTTTATTTTATGATTGGATATTTATGAGTATACATTATAAATTTAAGTTATATCTATCAAAATTGAATATTTATTCTAGTTTTTCTCACTCACATGGTTTATTTTTAGTTTGTTGTTATAATTTTCATCCATGCAAAAAAAATTCAATTTTTACTAACTGAATGTATTTAACATGAAAGTAAGCATATTGTGTATCATAGCATAAAAAAACTGTAGAATATTCATAAAACTTCATAAAACTTAATGCAATGCATTAAGTTTTATGAAAACAAAATTTATTTCATAAAATATGAATGTTATTTATTTCATTACATAATATTTTCTGGTATTATCAATTCAAATGGCAATTCTATTTTACAGTGTTTAAACAAACAACAAATTTATTGAATCTGTTGAAAAAAATTATTATATATATAATGGGAATGGAATAATACAGGTGCTCCAAAGTTTGTGAAGTTTTGTACTTTAATGACTGAAAATGTACAAATATTAAAACTATACAGTAAATTACAGTTGAGAGCCTAACTTAACATTTTTTAAGTAATAGTTTTATCAATTTAGAATTGATTTATTTTACTTATTTAAAGGTTCTGTTAGTGACACAATTTACTTTCTCTTTGACTGTCACCATTTCAGGTCAAAATCAGAACTCCTTCTTCTCTTACTTTTTGTTAGTGTCCTATTTTGTCTTTTTTGAGTGTAAAATTAGGACATATATAAGCATGTATTTTTTCCCCATTCATCATTCTAGACAGGACCAAAAATTTTTTGTAGACTTGTGTTTTCAAAATGCTATAGGTATTTTTCATCTTACTTTCTTGTTGTCCCCATTTCACAGAAATATATCAACTGTACAGTGTGACATATATAACAGAAAATTTTAAGCCAGTCAAATTAGATTGCTGGATTATGTTGAAATAATGCACACAGGCTATCTGTCAAAATTTGTCTATAACCAAACAATGGAAGGAATCTGATCCCAAAGACAGCTACAAAGAAGATGGCTGGAGAAGGAAGAAGACCTAAAGGTATTAAGAATATTTAACACGAGAATCATTATAACAGACAGCAGTTGGAGAAAGATTGTTTCTATAGCATAGAACCTCAGACTCAGTGCTACAAGATGATGAAAGAAATTTTTCTTTTAAATCATCAATAAATTGTCATTGTATTGACAAGTCATGGCATCTTGATTTGTTTTATATATGGTGAATAACACTTCATTCATAAGTATTGGGTTACCATAAAGTTAATTTGGTTTTTAAGTAAAAATAAGAGAGAGATTTTTCATTTTTATCAATAACTTTATTGAACAATGTATTAACTGTTTTGTTCCACTACCTTCTGCCATTTTTCAGGCAACTTTATAATTCTCTCCTCCCAAAACTTTTTATCTTTTCGAGCACAGAACCATTCCAGGTGCTTTTTTACAGGTAAAGACCAAAATATATGAAAATCTGAAGGTGCAGTGTCTGGTGAATATAGCAGATGAATCAGAATTTCCCAACCAAGATGCAAGTTTTGCCTGATCATCAATGAAACATGCAGTCTTGCATTATCTTGATAGATGATTATAATTTTCTGTTGACTAATTCCAGATGCTTTTTGCCAAGTGCTGCTTTCAGTTGCTTTTATTGAAAGAAATATTTACTGGAATTGATCATTAGGTTTTCTATCATAACAAAGGATACTCAATCTCACCATTTACTTCATCATCAGCATCATTACATGAAGACTAACTGGCCTTTGGTGTAGTTGGTAATGGTTCATTTTGCTTGCCCCACAATCTCTTCCATTCTACAGTATTGTAAAGTATCCACTTTTCATTGCCTATCATGGTTTGTTTTAAAAATGGAATGTTCTTGTCATATTTAAATAGAAAATCACATGCAGAAATACAGTCAAAGTTTTTTTTTTTTTGCTTAACATGTGTGGAACCAAAACTTCAAAGTGATTAACATAACCAAGCTGATGCAAATGATTTTTAAGGTTTGATTTGGATATTTTGAGTATGTCAGCTGGCTGTCTGCATGGTATAACATTGACTGTTCTCAATTAATATCTCAATTTGATTGCTATTAACTTAAACTTAGTCTACCCAACAGTGAAGCATCATCCATCAAGAAATCTCCAGCACAAAATTTTGCAAACCACTTTTGACATATTTGATCAGCCAAAGCACTTTTTCCATACACTGCACAAATCATTTTCGTTTTCTTTTACCTTTCTTGAAATAATAAAGCATAATATGCCAAAATGTTGCCTTTTTTTTCTTCCATCTTTAATATTAAAATAACTACACAAAAATTTACCAATTTTGATAACTTTTTATTTTTTAAATGCGTGCTGATATGATAACTGTCACCATACGACTAAACACTACTACAGCCATCTTACAGGAAAAACTGATCATATTTTTTGATTAACCCAATACAAATAACAAACTGTTGCTAAAATGTGATAAGCACCAACTGTTTTTTATCTTTCACTTCTATGACTTCTAGAAAATTCTTCATTCTTGCTAGTTTTGTTTACTTAACTTTCATAAACCACAACTATACCCAGCAGAAAACAATTAAATATGTAATCCAACACCTTATTTTTCGCTGAGAGATTATTTTTAATTAAAACAAACGTTTTCGATCCATTCATTGGATCATCCTCAGGCTAAATAGAACACTTCATAAATAGAACTACTCGTTTAAATATTCAAAAATACAAATAAACCGATAACATAAAAATAAATAATACTTGTAAATAATACAAATATTCAAAATAAATAACATAATATCATTACTAAATAATAATATCGTCTGCCTAACTATATAGAGCTTATTATTTCATACTAAATTTCCTGCGCTTTTTTTAAGCTTTTAACCACAAACTTCCAAGCGGAAGGAAGACCCTCCGCAAGAACAGCTGAAAAGATAGAAATCTATAGAAGCAAACTTGAAGAAAAATGTATTAACGCAAGAGTTGCGGAGGGTCTTCCTTCCGCTTGGAAGTTTGCGGTTAAAAGCTTAAAAAAAGCGCAGGAAATTTAGTATGAAATAATAAGCTCTATATAGTTAGGCAGACGATATTATTATTTAGTAATGATATTATGTTATTTATTTTGAATATTTGTATTATTTACAAGTATTATTTATTTTTATGTTATCGGTTTATTTGTATTTTTGAATATTTAAACGAGTAGTTCTATTTATGAAGTGTTCTATTTAGCCTGAGGATGATCCAATGAATGGATCGAAAACGTTTGTTTTAATTAAAAATAATCTCTCAGCGAAAAATAAGGTGTTGGATTACATATTTATTTAACTTTCTTCTAGTAGTAAAATTTGACAACAGGAAATTAACTAAGCACTTATTATTGTTAGGGAATAATTAGGGAAATACAACTGATAACTTATAAAGTGTACAAGATCATCAGGGGGGAAAATTGGAATGCTTCACTTGTGGGAATTGTTTACATAAGATATGTTTACTTATTTAATATTCAAATAACATAACTTGTGGCATTTTAAAGGGAAATTATCTAACTGTTCACTTAAGAAAGGTTTTACTGCACTTGTTTTTATTTTCTTGTACAAAAGTTTTTGCAATATATAGTAGGTGATTGGCTTTAAAAAACTGAAAGCATTTGAACAGTTCAGATGCAAAAAAGTAACAGTCTTTTTTTAATTGAAATAAAGAATTAATTTAATGATCAAAAAGGGAGTGTCTTTTAGATTATTAAACTAGAATTTACTAAAAAGCAACAGATCTCGCATTTGCTTAAAAAATATCTTATAATAGCTCAATGCCAGTAGTAACATTCCACAGTATAGATTTACTAAAATCAATTTTTTCTTAATGGACATATTTTGGATCTGATATCCTCATATTTCCAGAAACTATGGGAATAATTAAAAATTAAGAAGAAAGTTAAAATTGAAAAAAAATAATAATAATAATAATAATAATAATTAAAAGAATAGAACTTCAGTGATACTTTTAATGTTTTAAAGAAAATGTGATAAGGAAATATTACTTTTCTTAAAATTGTACTTTTTTCAACTAAATTGTCCTAACTTTTCATACTTTGTTCTTGGAAGCCCTATAAAAATAAAGTTAGTTTTACATGGATAAAAATTATGTAGAAAAACTTTAAAAGAGCCTCTCAAATACTATTTACTGTATAGTTTCAACATTTGTACATCTTTACTTATTGAAGTATAAAACTACATGTGGACTTTTGGACCACCCTGTGTATAAAATTAATTGTTTAACAGATTTTATTACATTGAAATGGCCAAATTTATTTTGTTGTTGTTGTTGAAGAAAACTTTACCTTGATTAAAAAATGAAATATTACAATAAATGGCTAACATATTTAGTTCAAAAATATTTATAAATTAATTTCAGTGAAGTGTTGTCAGAGCAGTAAAAATTTTTTTTTGAAATATTTATATTTATATGATTGTTGTCAAATTTAAAAAATTCTCATTAATAGATTTT